GCTAGATACGTGAGGATGGAAGCCTGGACCTTGTCCTGCATCTTCCATACAAGATTGGTTCTGGAGCCGGGCGCCAGTGGCTCACGCCTATAATCCTAGCTTGCCAGGAGACAGAGATTAGGAGGATCAAGGTTTGAGGTCAGCCTGGACAAATAGTGTGTGAGACCCTACCTTGAAAATATTCAACACAAAATGGCTGGCAGAGTGGCTCAACTGATAAGAGCATCTGCCTAGCAAGTATGAAGCCTTGAGTTACAACCCCAGTTCTGCCAGTCAGCCCAGGCAAATAGTTCCCGGGACCCTACCTCGAAAAAACCCATCACAAAAAGGACTAGTGGAGTGGCTCAAGGTGTAGGCCCTGAGTGCAAACCCCAGTACTGCAAAGAAAAAGATTCGCATTTGCTGCTGGAGCCACCCGGTCTACGGTAACTTGTGATAGCAGTGTGCATTAAAACACACAGACAATATCACTGAAGACGTTAACCTTTTACTTGACTGATGTAGTGTTGGTCAGGTTTCTCTATTGTGAAGTTACTCTACTATGTGGAAGCAAGTCACTCAGCATAGCCCACACCAAAGGGGTGGGGAAAAGGACTCTTTTTGGGATCTTTTCATAAATTGCTTAGAATTCTGTTTTCATTGAGACCTGGACCCAGCAATGCTACAAAAACTGACTACTTAATCTCAACAATGTTGCTGGGTCACTTTCTGAGTCTACCTGGCTTTGGGGGAATTGTCAATCAGTTTCTCTTCCAGGATCCAGACCACTGGGAACTCCGGTGACCCGTGACTCACACAGTGCCAGAAGAAGCCAAAGAGCTCGACCAAGTCTGATCTATGGTCCAAATCCATTTATGTGGCAAATATTTTCTGTGCATCTCCTAGGTGCCAGGCCCTGTTCTAGAGGGTGACAGCACTGAGGAAAGTCTCACTCCAGTGCATTTACCTGATCTCCATACTCAAAAGTGTGGTTCAAGGACCAGCAGCATTGGCCTCACCCAGGAGGTTCTCAGCCCACCCCAGACCCACTCCATCAGAATCTCCATTTTATTAAGATTCTCATGGAGTCAAAGGCACATGAAGTTTGAGAAGCAGTGGGCTTGGAGGCATTCCACAAACAGATGACTGAACATGAAATAACAATTGCAATCTTAAATGGTTAAGACAAAAAAGCTTATAAACACACTTTGGTCCTGGTAGATGACAGAACACTGTCATCCCTCGTGTCTGAAGAGGATGGGTTCCAGCACTCCTGCAGATACCAAAATCTGAGGATGCTCAAGTCCCTTATATAAAATGGGGTAGTATTTGCATGTAACCTATGCAATCCTCCTGTGTACTTTAAATCATCCCTAGATTACTTATCATACATAAAATGTGATACAAATGCAAATATTTTAGGGAACGATGATAAGAAAATAAAGCCTGCATGTGGTCAGTACAGGCTTTCGTGTTAGGAAAACAGGAGCTGTGCTCATGAACGGTGAGCTTTGGTGTCTTGGTGTGGCCTGTACCTGGTTAGTTTGTGACCAGCTGAGAAGCTCAGCCTCAGGTCTATTCCAGCCAACTAACCAGTGTGGATTCTGCAGTCTGCAGGCAGGACTCCTGACCAATGTCGGCTTTGGAGCCCCGACAAGAAAGAGCTGGAGTGAGGTGAGGCATCTGGGCACAGGACCTATGTGACCCAGCAGGCCACAGAAAACAGAACTCGAGTGTCCCTGACCTCACACTCAACATCCAAGGCCAGCAGTGTGTTTGGTGATTAAAGAAATTGGGGAACAGGACACCCCTTGTGAAGTGAGAGGTGTCACTGTCTAAGAGAGCAGCCTCACCTCTGACACCAATTGCACGTTTGATGGGGGGGGCGCATTGCTGAGACTGTAAGTCCAGTAATTCACTAGAAGGACTCACAGAACTCACTGAAAGCTGTTATACTCACAGTCACGGTTATGACAGTGAAAGGGGACAAACTAAAAATGAGTCAAGGGAAGAGCACATAGAGCAGAGCCCAGGATATTTTCAAATGCAGAGCTTCCAGTTGCCCTGTCCCCGTGGAGCGGGGACAGGTTACTTTCCTAGCATTGAAGTGTGACAGTATGCATGGAGTTCTGCCAACCAGGGAAGCTTGGCAAGGCCTCGGAACTTGATTTTGTCAACCTGGTTGTCTGCCCATGTGGCTGCCCTCAGTCTTCAGTGTCTTCAGAGGTTAAGCTGATAGCATATGACAAAAGTCCCCACCACGGGTCACTCTCTCACACTGCCCGCATGGCCCAATGCCTCCAGGTAAACAGACACTGCTATCAAGCAAGGCATTTCGAGGACTTAGAGATGACCTCATAGGGAAGTATGACAAAGGCCAGACCTCTCTCTGACCACTGTCAAATTCTTTACCACCCCCTCCCCGTTCTACTGCCATGATGCCTTTTGAACCCTTTCCCTAAATACAGTCAGCTCTCCTCTGTATCCAGGGGCCCCACATCCATGGATTTAACCAATTTATGGATCAAAATATTTGAAAGAAAATCACATTTGCACTGAACATTTCTTCATGACATTTTCCCAGGTAACTATTTACCTGGAGTTTGCATGGTATCAGGCATTAGAAGCAATCTAGAGACAGTTGAAAATATAAGGGGGGGTGTGCACACGTTATTTATTTGCTTTTGCACAAATAGTGAGGCATATTTTTGGTCTTGGTAACACATTTTATCTCTTCTGTTTGTTGTTTTTTCACACGCTATTTCTTGAAATCTACAGAATACAAATTCAAAAAGGTCTTGCGGGGAGACACTCCTTATGTGCGCTGTAGGATTTGAGAGAAAGATGCCACCATTTTCCACCACCAGCAACCTAACGAAGGCTACGCTGTCTTTTTTTTTTTTTTGGTGGTAGTGGGGATTGAATGTGGGCCTCTAGACAGCATGCTAGGAAAGTGCTCTACCACTTGAGCCATGCTCCCAGCCCTTTTGTTTTTTCTGTTCTTACAACAAGGTCTTATTAACCTTGCCTGTGCTGGCCTCAAACTCTTGATCCTTCTGCCTCAGTCTCCTGACTAGCTGCGATTATAGGCGTGTACCATCACACTGAGCAAGATTACACTGTCTTAAACTAGTAAGTTTCACAATTACACTTGAGTAGGTCCTCCTTTTAGGCTAAACCACATATAAGATTCAGAGCATATAAATGTAGCAATTCTATGCCACCTGCACTTGCAGATTTTTGTATCCATTGGGTAGAGGGTTCCTGGAACCAATTCCCCAGGGATACCAGACAATAACTATACATCGGGACCACCTCAGAAGGGGGTGGAAGAGGACAGATTGGGAGCAAGCACTCAGGTACTAAATTAACCATGTACTCTTTAAGTTATTGGAACAATTTCTGAAATTTATTCTCTAATGTGTCTGCACATAGCCAAAATGGTGGAGGACTAAGGCTGTGCATTGAAACGTTATTTATGAAAGCAAAGTGTGGGAGCAACAGAGGGCCCACAGTGGGGGTAGTTAAAGAAATGGTGCTCCATGCGCCATCCTCACCTATGCACCATTACATCTGTATGGGGAAGGGTTCCTCCACTTGTGCAAATGTAGAATACCAGGAGACTCTTTTAACTTAAAAAAATCAGAGCAGAAGATCTTAGTGTGCTAACATGATGGTATTGTTTGGACTTTCCTAGTGAAAAAAGCAAAGGGCCCTGGCTGTGGGAGACCATCTGCATCTCTAATCCCTAGTGCATGCAGACATCTGGTTTTGTGTTTGCCTGCTATTTTCTTTTCCTGCCCTTCCCCCACTCTTGACTCCTGATTCCACTGCTTGTCTCACCCGTTGATTCTATACCAGCCAGTTTTCATCTTTCCACCACCTCGGATCTGTGGCTGACCCTGACTTTGCTACCTACATCGCCTGGACTTCTCCAAGATCCCAGCAGTTACAGCACAGTTACTACCCAGCATGCTAGCGTCTTTTCCTGGGCTACAGCTCAAGCTTCTCAGAAGAAAGTGCAGGTCTTGGGACTGAGCCCTGAGTCTCAGCAACACCGTGGATTCTGTTTTCTTGGCTGTTCCTGCTGCCCGGGCCATTGGGCAGAGCCATGGTGGTGATGGAAGAAGACCTTCCCCAGCTACCGCCCACCTCCCACTTCACCTCCAGCATTTCCCAAGTCCCCTCCAAGGCTGGACCTGGGAAAAGGAGTGTGGTCAGGAGATGAAAGGATTCCATCAAGGATGATGGCCTGCACTTGGATGTGGAGACAGTGAAATCAGAATACTGGCCTGAAACATGCTGGATGGGCTGGAGGTCCTATCAAGTTGTCAAGGGGTGGTGGGGAGGTCAGGGAAGGCAGAGGGAGGAACAGGCCCTGGTCGAGAAGACAGTCACCAACATGGCATTTTAGTTCTATTTGAGGATGGGATCTACTGAGTCATGATGCCATGCTCCTTTCATGTTTCTTTGACAGCCCAGTGTTCTGGTCAACTGCATGTCCCAAGACATGTCCTCCTATACAGGTTGGAACTGTCCAAAAGTACTGACTTGGATTTTAGGGTGGGGACCTGCAATGAGGCCCTAGGGTCAGCTCCATTGTCCTGGCCTTGCCCCAGTGGATGTCATGACACAAAACTTGATACTGTTACAAAACAGATATGTTTGGTCTCACTACATGGGAGTCACTTTCCCTGATTTTTGAATAGCAAACATTTTGTCCTTGTCACAAATAAGTATTTTTCCTTCCTGTTTCAAAGCATGGGTATGGGGGTGACCCATACCTATTCAAAGCTTCCCTGGGCTTCTCTGAGTCTTTTCTTTTCTTTTTGGCAGTACTGGGATTTGAACTCAGGGCCTCACTCTTGCTAGGCAGGTACTCTACCATTTTAGCCACTCTACCAGCTCTTTTTTTGTGTTGGGCATTTTCAAGATAAGGTCTCACAAATTGTTTGGCCAGGCTGGCTTTGAACCATGATCCTCCTGATCTCTGCCTCCTGAGTACTTAGGATTACAGGTGTGAGCCACTGGCACCTGGCTTGAAATGCAATCTTGCTTGCAAACTAGCCTGAGTTTTATTTAAAAAAACAACAAACAAAACATGCAGGGCTAGGGGATGTGTGGCTCAAACTTCAGTGCCTGAATTCAAAACCCAGTTTGGCACAAACAAAACCATGCAAAGAACAACTCGCCACTTTTTTATTGCACATCTAGGATGCTGAGCTGCTGGGCTCCTGCCCTATGGTAGGACCCTGGTCAGTGTCTCGCCCACACTCCAACCATAACAGGTAGCAATCACATCTGCCATTTACAGGACTTGTTTATGCCCCAGGCACTCACAGAAGTTAGACAAGAACCACTTAGTCTCTCATCACCCTGCCAGGGAATGAGCTATTCCAGTCTCTCTTGATGGGTGAGGACCCTGAGGCTCAGAGCACCTTTGTCCAGGGGCCCAGAGCGGGTGAGCTGCAACCAAGGCCAGCTGCTCCCACCCTGTCCAAGACAATGTTCTCAGAAGCAGGGACTCCACAGAGCTGAGTCTGTGCTGTCTGTTTCTCCCAATGCCTGGCAGACTGGTGCTCATTGAGCACCCCTTGCCGTGCACACTGAGCCCCATAATGGCCCAGTGTTGTCTTTACAACAGCCCTAGGAAGTGGTCACCATTACTATCCTCTTTATCTTACAGGTAAGGACCTGAGGGAGGAAGTGACACAAATGAAGCCTGAATCCTTTGCCAGTCTTCCACAGGGATGGAGGATTGTGGCAAACAAATAAAGAGGAGAAAGGAGGTAAAGCTGAGACTTACTCTGTCGCAGCTGGATAATAGCACGCGGTTCCCATCTTGGACCCCATCTCTGTTTCACACATGGTAAGTGGGTCTGTTCCCTATGAACTCTCTGTTAGCTATCAACTCCATCCATCTGCTCGTTAGGGCAATAAAAAACAATCAAATGAGCCTTCTGACTTCCAGCACTGGGGCCTAACCACATAACTTGGAAATGACTCTTAATTATTAAGTCTGATCAAAGACTTGTTGTTCAGTAATTAGAAATCATGGCCTCCCCCTCCAGGCTTGGAGCTCATAAACAACAGTTGGATGTGCTTTTTATTTGGGTCAGATCAGACCCTGGTTGGATCCATTCCCCCTCACTACGCCAGCCTCACTGGGGAGGCAGCAGGAGGCTGAAGTTCTGCTATTCGCTCCTGGGCCTGCAGCCAGCAAGGAGCAAGAGATGGCAGATGTGGAACTGACCCTTAATGGAGACAGATGAAGGCCTTAGTGACAGACGTCAGCACCAAGGCACAGCACTCAGGCCCTGGCTCTCTCTTTGAGGCCTCTCTAGCAGAGGACAGTGAGAAGGGAAGTGTCATCAGGGTCTTACCTTGGAGGTCACAGTTGGGGACAACCAGCCAGAGACTCTTGAGTCCAGAAGGGAGTGAACAGTTCACAGCTAGAACCCAGTGATTCCACCATCAAGTCATTCCATAAATATTTATTGATGACCTACTAAGTGCCAGACCTGGGTATCAGATGGTGAATAAAAACTACAGTGCCTGATCTTAAAAGACATCACAGGTCAGTGGGGAAATGGTCCATCTTGGAGGGAAAATGAACTCCAGGGTCAGGTGTGGAAGGGCGTGGATGCGCCTGGCAGATCCCTTGGAGCTGAGAACAGAAATGTCCTTATCCTCTGAGACTCTCCAGAGATGTACCACATCCCAGTGATGCACGTGGGAGATTCACCATGGCCTCCAAGACCCATTGTTCTCTGGTTCTCAGACTCTCATGTACTGGACATTGGCACCCAAGAACAGGAAGTCCTAGGAAAAGCAAGACAGGATGAAATGATAAGGAACAAGAGGGGCTTGGTGATACCTGCCTTTAATCCCAGCATTTGGGAGGCCAAGGTCAGCCTGGGAAGGAAGGAAGGAAGGGAAAGAAAGAAAAAGAAAAGAAAAAAGAGCATCTTCTACTCCAAAAAGATGCCTTTGCCAAGTGAAGGCAGGCCCTGTCTTGGGAAACACAAGGTCTGCCAGAATCTAGGTCAGTGTATAAATTGCAAGTGTGCCTGTCCCCAAGGTCGCTATGAAGCACAGCTTTCACCAGCTACCTTCTCCCAGGCAGCCATCTATCTGTCATTTCCCAAGCTACAGCTTCCTGGCAGACCTCATAAATGTCCTTTGTGTCACCTAAATTTTCTCTTCTTGGCAAAGAAGGTGAAATTGTGAGCTGCTGGGGTTTGCGCTCCTGTTCTTAAATTTCCGTTACCAGAAGGGTGGGCACTTGGACTCAAGGCAAAGTCTAATTCTTTCCACAGCGATTCATCCCTGGCCTGTGATGGTCAGACGAGTGAACAGCGTTGACCTCAAAATTCTGACGAACACGATGATGTAATAAGCCTTCTAATCACTTCCCAGGTGCCAGACATGGAGCTTGCATAGCTGGCCCCGAGAGGTTTGGGCTACACCCCACTTTACAGAGAAGAGAACTGAGGCTGGTGGTGTGAACTCTCACTCCATCTTTGCTCTACACAAGGCTTGGTCTGGCTCTGCCTGTGAGCACTCAGCAGCAGTTGAGTGATAAGTATCTTAAGATCCCAAAGGACTTTGGACATTTTTTCCCAAATATAACAGCTGGTCAGTGTTTCCACGTTCCCAGCCACTTCCCTGCCCTTCATTCCCCTCCACTGCTATCATCTCCTGGATGTTGATCATGGACCAGGCACAGCACAGCATCTCCCGTGATGCTCTCCTGTCTGCCAGCCTGGTCGTCTCATCCTAGAGATGCTGTTCTAGAAAGGGAACCTGAAACTTGGGGCCTGGAAGGATCCCCAAAGGGCTTGGTTAGAATAGTAGTTATGACAAGCAAAACTCAGGCTCATTTCTTGGTATTAAACTAGTTAAGTCAATTACAGTCCGTCTGTGGGCTGGGACCATGCCCAGCTATTTATTGCTGGGAGGTAGAGACTAGGTTACAACCAGGGATCAAACCTAAGTGGTACCACTAAGTTTAAAAAAAAAAAAGGAAAGAAAGAAAGAAAACAGATATGAGCATCAGCAATGCAAATGCCTAAAGCTAACACAAATTTGAAGACCAGCTTGGTGGGAGGGGGAGGACTGGAAAGAAGCACACCAAAATCCAAACCGTGCTGGTAAGGGAGCAAGGAGCTTATGCAATATGCAAGGATGCATACAGGGAACAGGACTCTTGAAAACGTGGAAGCACACCAAATGTAGATTTACAATACAGCTCCTCTGCTTAAGAATTAAGAAGGAATTATTAAAGTTACCAGCGGTTTTCAGAATCTGACCTGTGGTCAAATGTGGGGCTTCCACTATTTTCAAAATGAGCTGTTTTTGAGGTTCCCTCAGGTTCCCTGTGTGAGGTCTAGGGCTGCATCAAATACCTTCTGCTCCGATAGGGATGGTACTTACAGAGGACATGTGGATGGCTTCACAGCACATTGCAATTCCCCCCAACCCCCCACCATTCTGCTCTGCCCAGCTTTCCCAGCTGCAGGGCCAGGCTAGGCCCCACTCACTGAGTTATGGCCTCCAAGCCTGGCAGGCTGATCCCTTCCCCTCAAGTCCCTAGAGCCCCCATGACCTCAGTTACCTTGTGGATCTGTAGAACAAGGTCATAGAGCTGAATATGCTTTAGCAGAGGGAGGGGGAATCCTTTGGCCAACTTATCTGCAAGTTGATGACACCATTGAGAGCTGTGTTAATGACTTTTACAGACAAGATTTTCCCAAAGAGTCTTGTTTTCTACAAACTCTATACAAGCATATCCCCATTTAGTGATCACCAAAGTCTAGGAGGTAGATATGATTATCACTGCCAATTTACAGATAAGGAAATTGAGGCAAAAAGTGGCTAGAAAGTGGAGGAACTGAGATTTGAACTTAGGAAGGCCATCAGTATGGGGGCAGATGGAGTACGGTAGCCTGTGTTGTGATGAGGAGCTGGGCGCCTACTCGCTGTCCTCCCCCACCTGTTTTAGGTTACAGCCAAATGAAGCAAGGCTCAGAAAAATAGCATTTTTCCTCCGTCCCTTCTTCCCTCTCTTCCTTCCTTTCTTTCCAGACTGGGTCTCACTGTGTAGCCCAGGCTGCCCTTGAGCTCTCCATCCTTCCGCCTGTGCCTCTTGAGTGCTGCAATTGCAGACACACACATGGCCCTGGGCTAAGGAGCTGGGCAGTGAACTGGGAAGCATGAATTCAAGGTGGTTGCCTTGTGCCCTCTATTTTAACTTGGTCCTCCGTCTTTCACCCGTCACTTCAGGATGTGGACACTTGCTCGAGTCTCGCCTATTTGCAAGGAGGTTTACTGTGCACCAAAGAGCTCCCCAGCCCCTAAGTCCCACTAGAGCCCTGGAGGGACCTGAGGCTAACCTCAGCATCCCATCTCACACATAAGCCACTGAAGCTCCCAGAAGTGACTTGCCCAGGGTCACTCAGCCCTCAGGAAAGCCCTGGTTCCCAGCTCCAAATTCAACTCTCTTTGCTCTGAAGAGCAGTGTCACTCCTAACTTGACTTGAATCGCCTTTTTTTTTTTTGCAGTACTGGGACTTGATCTCAGGGCCTGGCGCTTGCTAGACAGCCGCTCTACCACTTGAGCCACTCCACCAGCGTCATGGGAAAAGGCCATAGAGATTCTTACCGTTGACCTCAGGGTAGAGCGTGTTGACAATGTAGTAGTTGAGGAGCGCCTCCAACAGCTCCACCTGGTGGAGAACAGGAGAGGTGCACCATGACCGTGCGGCTACCTTATCCCTCAACAGTCACACAGCCACGGGGGAACACGTTCGAAGCTGCTGATTCCTACATCATGCTGCTATTTTATCAGTTAAAACCATTTGAGATGCACATTTGCACGTATGCAAACAAGTAGAAACATTTTGAAAGGCCACACACCCAACGGTACTTACGCTAGGAAGAACAGCAAGATTTGACTCATCCCTCAGTCGGCATTCAACTTGGGGTTTTCTTTAACCTGTACTGGGGTTTGAACTCAGAGCCTCACACTTGCTAAGCAGGTGCTCTACCACTGGAGCCACATCCCCAGTCCAAGTATCTAATTGTTTTTAACAGTGAAAATGTCTTCTTGAATTACTTGTGTAATTTTTTTTTAATTAGGTAAACACAAAACGGGCAGCCCTACAAAAATTATGAAGCCCAGCTGTGAACACCTGCTCTATGCCAGGCACAGGGCTCAGAGCTTTACGTGACTCAGGCTTCACAACAGTCCTATGAAGTGCGTGCCAATGTCCCCATTTCACAGAGAAGGACACTGATGCCCATAGCATGAAACTGGGCAGCGGGGTCAGGATTTGAATCTGAGTTTATCTGAGTCAACAGCTAGTGCTTTTTTTTTTTAATCACTTCTCAGCCTTTCGGCTGAGATCAGGTGTAGCAACAGTTGTTGGTTTTTACATTTTATGCAAATGCTTCACTTCATAGGACCTTTTTCCATGCCAGCAGGAATACAGTTTTGGGCTATCACCATCCATCTCACTCTTTGTTCTCTTGGGGCCCTGTGAGCAGCATCCCTCCCTCCATTTGCTCCTTTCTGCTTCATGAGTACTCAGAGAGGTCTAGGAAGGAGGCAGGTGGATGTGGTCAGAGGAAGCAGCTTTGTGGGATGGTGCACGGGAGACAGCTACAGCAAGTCTCCTATGAGTGGCAGTTCCACCCACCTTCCTCTTTCCAGAAAGCTCCTTAGCACTTCAGTCCACATGGACTTCTTCCCATTTTTTCTCCTCCTTTCATATGGGGCCATTTTCTCCTTGTGGAAATCACTTCATCACACCATAGTTTGCTTCTCTAGTATTAACTGTTGTTTAAGTGGCACTGGGGTTTGAACTCACAGCCTCACGCTTGCTAGGCAAGCACTTTAGTCACTTGAGCCACTCCAACAGCCCTTTTTGGTGAAGGGTTTTTCAAGATAGGGTCTCTCAAACTATTTGATGGGCTGGCTTTGAACTTTGGTCCTCCTGATCTCTGCCTCCTGAGTAGCTAGGATTGTAGGTGTGAGCCATGGGCAACAGGCCATTTTCTCCTGTTTTGATAACAGAATAGCCCCAGCCCCCCAGGAGCCTTCCTTAGTCCAGGTGGTCTGGGTGGAGTTCATTGTAAACCCGGGTTCCTGGAGTGTAGATGACATTCACATTTGGCTTATTGGTCTTGTCCTAAATTTTGCCCACAATTTGTGGCTCAAGAATGGGCACTTAACTAACATTAGTTTAACGAGAGCTAACTAGCTCAGAGATTGTTTTCATTTTGTAGATTGTTTTTCAAAGAATGAAACTAGAGGAACATCCGGGGTTTGCTACCAATGGAAAGAGCCTGCCTGAGAATGAAGCCAACACAGATGAAATTAGAACTGAGAGAGATTCTTGATGCATTAACCTGAGCATCTGGATCCAGCTATGTCTGAATCTTCCAGCCTTAATTTTGTTGTTGTTGCCTTTTGTTGCTTTTTTAGGACATGACTCTATGGATTCCTCCTCTTTACGTAAAATGATTTGAGTTGCCTTTCTTTTCCTTGCAGTTAAAAGACTTCTGTCCAATAGATAACTTAACTATAAATCATCTTATATGGGATATACCTATCCCTTGGTCCTGTCTTGTGTTCTTGAGAGGTTCTCCATGGCCCTAGGGCAGAGATCTTCTCCTTTTTGTTTCTAAAGGTGCCATGGCAATTCTTAGGACACATCCTCAGTTAACGGGCAAATGGTCATGTCATAAATAAAAACAATGGTAACTTACATTGAATTGTCCCACTTTGGATTCTTTCAGCTCCACTTGTACCCTACAATGAATCAGAGATTTGCAGAGGTGGACATCATACCTGTGTGAAGTCTAAGTGATCTGGGGTCCCTAGAAAGGAGGACGCAGTGGCATGACAAGGGTGGGGTAAGAGTGGGAGGTGAAAACGATGATTGAGTAAGGTGAAACAGCAACATTGGGATGACTCAGGGGGAGGTGTGTTGTGTAAAAGAGCTCCATCTTTATCATCTCAGGACCTGAACACAGCTGGTGTATCAAATTCATAGATTAAGGAAACTATTAGTAAAATAATATTGAAAAATAATTCACAAATTATTTAGAATTTGGAAATTTGTGGGACAGGACCAGTGGGGCAAAAGAAATGGACCAATTGGGATGACATTTGCTTCCTTCCCAAATGGTGGGACAGGAGGATTGCATCATATCCCCACCCCAGTCACGATCCAGATGGAGCCCAGCTGAGCGCCCATGCATACAGGAGGCTGACTTACTTTCTTGGATTCAGGAACCCAGTGATCTTGCTGGTGTTGAAGGTCAAGGTGATGGATACATTAGTGCTCTGGAAAAGCCAGTAGGAAGAAACAAGTTTAAATGTTGGTGGTGTCATGACAGGGAAGACGATGAGAGCCAGCTGTCTGCTGTCAACCAACAGCTCGGTGAGTTAGTGCAGGAAACTTTCCTGCTGGCCTGCAGACTCACAGGGTGCTCCTTGTAGGTGCTGAATAAGTGTTTGAACTTGGACTTGAACGTTTATACTTGAAATTGCTATGACAGCAGTTAAAGTTTGAACAGACCATCAAGAGAAGGCACAGCGCATTCATCCCTGGAGAGTTCTAAAAAAGGATCTCTGCTAAATAAATTATGTTTTATTTTAAAATATATGAACAATAAGAATAGTGTTTTTATCAACATTGTCCCTCCAGAGATTCGACTGTTGAATTTCAAGCCTGAACTAACACAGCAAAGTTCTCCATCCAATGAGCAGAAACCCAAAGGACTCAGAAACCCTTCTTTGTTGGACAGGGTTTATCAAGAAAGAAAAAATACTCTCAACATTTAATGCAGAGGGAATTTAACGCAGGGAATTGGTTATACAAGTGATGGACTTGTGAGAAAGAAGAAAAAAAAAACTGGTGAGGCTGCTCAGGGGTTACAGAACCAGGAGGCTGCTTCTACCCCAGGAGCAGAGGAACAGAGAGGAGGTGGGATTATGGCAACCACTGTGGAGGAGACATGCTTCCTGCCAGACCCTCTGCCCAAAGCAGAGAGGAAAAAGTCCATGGGCTTCTTCCTTTCTCCTGACAGTACCTCTCATTGGCTGAAAGCTGGAGGTCAGAGTGCAAAGGAGCCTGGGAAATGTAGTCCTAGGGGTCAGCTATAGACAGAGCAGAACCCACAGGACAAAGACTCAGATATCTTCTTCCCCACTATGGTCCTGACTCTGGGAGCTACAAACATCAAACAAATAAATCTGCAAATATCTACATAAATAACTCAGTAATAGACACTGTGAAGAGAAATCATGGGGTATCACAGAGTCTAGATGGAGCCCAGCTCAGTGCCTATGTGGGCAGTTACTTTCCTGGGTTCAGGGACTCAGTGGTCTTATTTGAAAATCAATAGCAAGAGGTAAGATAGGTTGGGGGTAAGAGAAATCATGAAAGGCCTCTCTAAGGAAGCCATGTTTCAGTTGAGACGTGAGGAATCAGCAAGGTGGTGAGGGGGAGAACAGCATGCAAGAAAAGGGAACAGCATTTGCTAAGGCTCTGAACCTTACCACACCAAGTCGGAAGACAGGCTCTCGGGCAGAGTTGGGCAGCAGCACAAAGCCCTCAGTCTCCATCTGGAGCACCAAGGACAGGTTCCCAGGGCTGAAGTTCAGGAGTGGGGCGGAGACCACAGCTCCCTGGAGCTCCAAGTTCATGTTGGGGTACAACCTGGCTATCTGGGGGCAGGATTAGGAGATAGTGTCAGGAAAAGAAAGTGGGTAAGTCTGCAGATCCAGAGGGACTCAGATACGCAGAACTGAGAATAATTTTTGGTTGTTTTTATTTCCCACAAAATACCCTGTGCCTTTTCTCTCAACAGCATCACAAGACATCTGTCCATGGAGACAGTCGTATCATATACTTCATGGCTGCATTGTATCCCACTGTGCACGAGTGCGGATTCAGCCCTACCAGGCATAAAATCGTCTGTCGAGGTTTTGCTGTAGGATGACCACCCCAGATGGCTACTATTTTCAGAAAAGCACTCCTACTGATAGGTAGCAGCTAGACATAAGGAAAAAAGGAAGAAATCATTGTAACTCAACTAATCTCTATTTAAGATTAAGTAGCCAGAGCCCAGGGGCTGTCACAGAACGCTTTGAAGTTGGTCACAACCCTAAAGCTTAATCCACTCTTCACTCAAGAGTAAGCCATGTCCTAAATATCAACTGTGTCTGGCACAGGGAAGTTTTCATAAGTAAATTTAATGAAACAAAAATCCCAAATCAAAGAGCTAGATAGAACAAAGTTTAGAAATTTCAAACAAATTTTCTATCAATTAGAGCAGGAACTAGTAGATTACTCAATGTCTCTCTTAACAAGACAATGACCCCAACGCAGAAGCCAAAAGGACCCAAAGCTAAGAGTTTCTCAATAAATATTCCAACGTTAACATCTGACCTGTTGTTCTCACTCTAGAGACAACCCGCTTTCATTCTGTTGAAGGGGTATTCCTTTCCTGACACAAGAATGGAGGTCATTTCCAAGGTAACACTAGGAGTGGGTCAAAGGGCAGGGACTTTAGAAGCTGTTGGCAGGTGTTGCCAAACTTCTCCAGACAGTGGCTGGGCAGTTATTTCTCCACGTGCCTGCTCATGCCAGGCGTGTCTGGAAATAGGACCCCACCATCTCAACAGTGCTTGCAATCTTCTGTGAAAGTAAAGGCAGGCGTAGAATTTAACTGGGACAGGACTGTTCCCTGGGGTGGAAGAACGCACTCCCATGAGCCCTTTGGTTATGCAAATGCAAAATCCACCTGCTCTTCCAGACTGAAGAGTTTGGAGTGTAAATTGCTGCACTGAGACTGTGGCGGAGTGGCAGCTTCGCCGGGTGAGCACCGTGCGGGGACAGGGAGGGGAGTTTCTTATCCTTCTGGGGTAAAAGGGATGCTGGAGCCAGGGAGTGGCCAAGGTTCCTCCCAAACTGGCTGGGACAAGGCGCTGTGAGTGGGGCTGTAGTGAGAGAAGGGGCCTGTGGGGCGCCCGGTGGAAGGACGTGACCAGCAGTGCTGGCCTGGACTGTCAATGTCGTCCCACCATCCCAACTCCCCTTGGCCTTCTGGCACGCTAAGCGCTCCCGCCTGCCGGAGCCGTGTCTTGCGGGACTCGGTGGGAAGATCACGAGTGTTTGTGTGTGCGGGCGTGGGCGGGGGGGGGTCCCTGCAGGATTAAATGAAGGGATGCATAGAAAGCCTTCAGCCCAGAAATGACAGTCACCGGGCTGTTCACTGAAACACCGACGTCTCAAATGGTTGGAACCAACCTACAACCTACGCGTCCTTCCATGCCCTTGCCATCCAATGGCGGATTGGACCCCAGGAGGAAAGGGTGAGGGCACTCTTTATCTAGCTACTCTCGCCCCTCCAGAAAGGAGGAAAGGGAGAGAAGGGAGCAGAGTAAACATGGGGGAGAGACGCATGACTTTTGCTGCATAGAGTGCGCAGGTAGCAGCACACATGCTCCACCCGGGACAGACTCCACCCGGGACAGACTCTAGATGGGAACTGGGTATTCGGCAGAGAACCCTCTCTGACCTTCTGCATCTTTCAGTGTTGAGCCATGATGATTTATTTCCATTCAGAAACTCATTTGCTAGCACTCTGGAAGCCTCGGGTGTTTTGATTAGGGTACCTTTTATGGAATATGGCAGAATTTCTTGAGATTTTTAGGTAGCACCCAAAACAGACTGGACAGTCTGTGGGGCCCCATGAGAGGTGGGGCACAGACCTCTGCTGCTAGGGCCTAGAAGGGTGCCTGGACTCCCCTGGGGTCTCCCTGCCACCTTTTTCATTCCCTGACTCTGGTCAGTCGGGCTCAGTGTGCACCCATGGAGGGAGAAGGAGCCCTTACCCGGGGTGCGAAGGCTCGGAAAGACTTGGTAGTCAGTCGGATGTTGGAGTCTGCTGGAACCTACAGCAAAGAGACACAAAGATGTTTTAGGGGGCTCCCACTGGAGGTCTGAAGAGCGCTGGGGAGATGGGGTGACCAAGACCACAGCTTCTCCTTGCACGCGTTTACCTCAGCAGTGAGACACCTGTCCGTATTCACCCTGAGTGGAGCACATCAGTCCCCAGGAAACGGGCTGTGGTCCTTAGGGTGTAGGTGACACATAGGTCCCACTCAGACCTAGCTGAGGCTCCTGGCCACGTCACTCTGTGACTTCAGTCAGTCATTTCATCTCCCGAGCCTCAGCTTTCTCTTCTGCAAAATGGGGTTGTAACAGTACCCACCCTAGGCTGCTGTGCTCCAGGAAACAGGTGGGGGGTGGGGAATCAAACACGCTAACAGAGTCCCAAGGCCTGTGGGGGAGGGGGAATCACCTTCAGGACAAGGTCACCCCTTCTACTAACCAGATGGTCCCTAATTATACCAGGGTAAAGTGGACCACCCAAGTTGGATTTGCACTGTGTCCCACACCATCCTGACATTGTTTATGGGACCTCACCTTTAAAGATGTGCTGTAAGAAACAACCTTTCAAACCCCAGAAATAGTAAAGAAATTGGGGACATAGGACAGATCTGACCACCGTAAAATTCAGCGTCCCTTATACAAAGCCTCACTGGAGATGGGTGATTAGAGGTAAGTGTTAGCAAGAAGACTTTGTCTCTTCTTTTTACTATGAATCACTAAATCATGTACCCTTTTCACTTTGGCTACTGGGAAGCCCCCAGACAGATTTGTGATCTTAAAAAAAGTTGATTTATAGGACTAGTGTTGTCTTTGCACTTTACTTTTTCCTTGGTCTTTATCTCCCTTTCTATGTAACTTTATGCATTTATCAAGGTATCTATTATCTTGCCTTGTTCACTAAAAAATGGTTTTGTTTTGGCAGTACTGGGGCTTGAACTCAGGGCTTGCTAGGCAGGCACTCTACCACTTGAGCCATTGTGTTAGCCCTTAAAATTGTTTTAATAAACCTCCAAGACAAGAGAAATATGCATCAGAACATTAGATCTAGGACAAGTGAAAAGTGAACCGCAGATATGTAAACTGCAAAGTCTTTGATAGTTGTCATAAGGGAGAGGGAACTTTGGCTTGGAGCTCCTGGCAGCCAAAGTAATAAAGGAAAATTGTGCTGACTTACATTTTTCCTGTCTTAGACATAACTTACTATTTCAATGACGTGAAGAGGTGGAAAGGAAAGGAGCAAGAGCTCTCTCTGCGCTCATCCTCACCATGTCGTCTGTGATGGAGAAGTTCAGTTGCCCTTCCTGGTGGTAAACCAAGCTGGCCATGTTGAAGACGTAGCCCGAGATGGCAAAGTAGACCATTTGCTCATGGTCCTCAGGGAGGCTCATGGCGGGAGCAAGAAAGTCCTCCGGGGAGCGGTGATTAGGATTGAAAATTTCACCCTGGAGAGAGAGAGATGGGGTCAGGCTGGACATTGAACTCGGAGTCACCTGAGCCACCTGTGAAAGGCACTGGCTGGAGACGTCCCCTAAGACCCACTGCTAAGAACATTTTCCTTTGAGCCCCCAAGAAGCTGTGGTAGGAGTGTTCAGGACGCTGACCAGCCCTTCTGTCCCACCTGGCCCAGTGGACGGGGCTCCCCTGCAGGGTGGGCAAGGGTGCGGGAGAGGAAGAAGGAGGAGGGCAGGTGTTAAGTCCTCATGACAGTGAGACATGGCTCTCGGGCTCTGGGAACACTCCCCACCACTCCATATCGCCCTGTCTCTGACATGGGGAGAATGGCACGGAGATGAGGACAGTTATGAAGCTGGGGGACAGGGGACCCTGGGATGGGCTGACCTTGACGGAACACTGCCCCGCAGCCGCTTCACCCCTGCTCCAGGGCTCTCACCTTAAACATCACCTCCAGCATCTGGGCTGTGACCCGAGGGGCCTCCACTAGGCTGTAATCGATGTCCAAGACATTGTCTATCTTGGCTGTGACTGCGAAGCAACAAGGGGAAGAGTTAGGGATGAGCGCAGTCTTCCGCAGATGGGCAGGGATGGCTCTGCTGGCTCACACTCCCTGGGGCCCACCTTCTGCCCAGCTCAGCCCCTAGGCAGAAGGAGAGACGGGGTCCCCTGTCCCACTGGCTGATAACCAACGGTGGGGGTGTGGGCTCAGCAAAGGACTGATGTGACTCCTGGGGACAGACACAGACACAAAAAAAAGGAGGACCTCACACCTTCAGGCCCACCTGGAGCTTCACCCAGAGCCAAAAAACCAGGAAGGTCGGCCATCCCAGACCCTGCCCCCACGCCCTGGGGAAGTGAATGTCCTGGGTGTGGTGCACTGGCCTGCACCAGCCCGGGCCTCAGGCCAACAGCATCTGTCCCGCATTGGAAAATCTCTCAGACAGTTGTCAGGCACTGTCCTTCCCCAGGTCACATGGGCGCCTTGGGGACCCCACTTTTAGCTGTTATCCTGCAGATACTCACAAGGCAAGTACAGCGAAGGAGGGTAAACCCTAAATGTTCATTAGCTGGGACTGTCAAATGATTGAAAACACAGCCCCAGAATGGAAAACTATACAGCTGTTAAAACGCCCAGGTCTGTCTGCCTCAGCGCTCCGGGAAACTCTGTGACAGGATCTCCTAACGCTGAACACCACGTGAGCCTGGCACTTCACGCCCAGGTGAAATGACAGGTGAAAGACATTTGGCCCTGTGTACTCTATATTGCTGTCCATTTATGCTTTGTTGGGTGCACATGCTCTTGTAAAAATTAACAGTGATACAGAACCCTACCTGGCAGGGTCTGGAGGTAAGGCTGGAGGTCAGAGGTCACTGAGTCTTGGATCATTTCACAGGTCTGGGAAAAACAGGAGAGACGAGGGTGATGAGCTTCCCAGGTCTGCACACCTGTGCTTGTCACTTGTCACTTCACTGCCTGGTGACCGCTCATCTCCAGATTGTCACAAGTGTGTGTCAGGTGCCAGAGACCAAGGGAACAGAAATGCTTAAAACCACATGGGGCCCCTCGGAGACACCAAGAGAGGCCAACTGGACCAGTCAATGTCCCTCCCAAAGCTGGACATCTGAATGAATTGAAGGGCACTGACCAGACCCTGCCAGCAACTCCACCATTAAAGCCCTGACCAGAGTCTGGTGGCAGAACTGGATGTGGCTGCATGAAGTCACCCACAGATGCAGAGGGAATGGGGCTCCTTTCTGCTGGGCTGCCTGAGCCCATGGCTGGACTGCAGCACTCCTGCTCCCGCCTTCTGGTGCCCATGGAGTGGTTTCGTCTGTGTGCCTCTGACCTCAATTTATTGTCACCAGTGGATCTGCACCTTCTCAGGAGAAGGGGTTACCTGTTGCCACACCTGTCTGTTCTTGCAGTCAAATTATGTATTATGTACCCAAAGAAGCATGGCTGAGAAAAGAGTTTCTTGTAAGAAAATCTAAGATAAATACTCTGGAAAGACAAGTTACTAAAAGGAAATGTGTTTATACTGGGACCAGACACAGAAGAGCTTAGAAGAAAAAAACTTAAAGACCTGCAAGGTGCTGCATTGGGGTGGCTTTGCCTGTGTCTTCAGATGCTCATTGTAGTTAAGGAGACAGAGTTTGTGACAGGTCAATGTTACATGCGAGAAAGACCAAATCCAAGATCAACGAAAGGCCATTTTCAAAGAATGGCCCTGCATCCTATTGTCAAAGACAACAAATGAGGGCCAGGCATGATTGCTCACTCCTGTAATCTCAGCTACTCAGGAGGTGGAGATTGGGAGGGTCATGGTTAGAGGTCAGCCGGGGCAAAAAGGTCACTGAGACTGCTGAGTGTGGTGGTACATATGTGTAATCCCGGCTGTACTGGAGACATAGGTAGGAGGATTGGGATCCGAGGCTCACCCTGGGCAAAAATGTGAGACTCCATTGCAAAATAACTAAAGTAATGAAAAAATAAAAAAACAAACAAACAAACAAAAATAACTAAAGCACAAAAGGGCTGCAGGATGTGGTTCAAGTGGTAGAGAGCCTGCTTGGCAAGCATAAGCTCAAACCCTAGTATCACCGCAAAAAAGAAACAAAAAAAGACAAATGAATTTTTATTTACTTCATCTGAAAACATTTGGGATCAGAGATTTTTTCTCAGTACTCCCTATGTAGCACAGGTGAGTGCTACCTATAGGTGAGTACCTCTGCCTCCCAGTGCTGGGATTACAGAGGTGCCCTACCATACCTAGTTTAAAGAGCTTTTTTTGATGAATCAGTTACCACCAGTTGCAACAGACCCATATGTACAAGGGAGAAGAAGGACAGGGTTTTAGCCCAGTGTAGGGTCACAGATGGCTCCTTGGAAGAGGCAACTTTTAACAGCAAGCTAACAGGTGAGTGGACACCAGCTAGGCAGAGGTGGTGGGGAGGGACATACCAGGCCCAGTTTATAGGAGAGGAGGTCAGTGGTGAGAAACTGTGGAAGCAAAGAAAGGGGTGGCGAGGAGCAGGGCTGGGGGCAGGAAGAGCCTGTGGATTGGCGCCCTCCCCGATCCTAGGGCTTGAACCTGGAGCCTCACAGTCGCTGGTGTAGACATGGTTCCCTATGTGCAGAACATCATACATGGGTCTCTGGGGTGAAAGTGTCTGGAGGAGCTGAAAGCTAACATGATTGTGTATTTTTGTATTTTAACACACAAAATCTGACACAGTGTCACTGCCTCCACATGGGGCAGGTACTCCTGTCCCCACCTGGCTCCTGCACCTTCCTGGTCTCCACTGGCCTCGGAGTGGTGACTTCCTTTTGGACTTTGGGACACAGGGCAGCGTGGCGACAGGGAGTAAGGCCAGGCGGGGGAGGGTGGATCACTTGTGCCCCCTCTCCCTTTTTACCCTTGGCAAGCAGCTGACCATTCTCTGCCTAACTGGATAGACATGGAATCCAGAGGCCAGAGTGCCAACCCCTGCTCTGCCACACATCAGCTCTATGACCTGGGCAAGCGGCTTGCCTTCTCTGCACTGTGGGCCCAACCATGTCCAAAGCAGCCTCCAAAGTCTGCCTAGGGCCAGAGGCCCAGTAGGGTGAGGATGGCTAACACCCTTGACCTGCTTACCTTGCTCTCCAGCTCTCTTCGGAACTTGGACTCGATCTGGTTGTGGAAGAGATTGAGCAGCCACCTGGGCAGGAGCACAGCGCACTGTTGACTGTCACTCGGACACAGGGACAGCAGTGCCCATGCCATCCTGGGCCTTGCTGAGCCTAGAGTCCCAACACAGCACTCTAGTGGGGCTTGCTCCCAGCCCTCTGCCACCGCACACAACATTAAGTTCGGTGGACTTGGGTGAGAGCTCAAGTATCCACAGTTTTTTGGTGGAGGAGGTGCTGGGGTCCAAACTCAGTTCTCAGGCTTGCTAGGCAGGCACTGGCTCACTGGAGCCACAGCCCCACCCCATTTTTACTTTAGTTATTTTTCAAATAGAGTCTGAAGGGCTGCTTTGGGCCATCCTTGGACCACAGTCCTCCTACCGGTGGCCTCCCAGTAGCTGGAATGACAAGTATATGACACCACACCAGGCTTATTTGTTGAGATAGGGTCTTGCTTTAATTTTTTGCTCGGGCTTACATTGAGCTGTGATCCTCCCGATCTCTGCCTCCTGAGTTGCTGGGATTGCAGGTGTAAGCCATCTCACCTAGCTAGAACCATTTTTCCCTTTCTTCCTTCCTGCCTTCCTTTCTTCCTTCTTTCCTTCTTCTCTCCCTTGATCTCTTTTCTTTTTTGTAGTGAAACTTATAGTAAGTTTACTAGGAAAGGATACACTCTCAACAGGCTGAAAGCAGGTCGTGTCTAGAGTGATACTGAGAACGACCTTTGAAACAGAGATTCAAAGAGGCAAAACGACTTGACCACAGATTTGTATATTTTTTACAAACTTTTTCAGTCAGAAGCATTTGTTTTCTTCCAAACAGCTAAATTTCATTAACCTGACAGAGGTCCCCTGAAGTTTATTTTGTAGAGGTGACATATTGACACTCCTATGTTGAATCTGCATCTTTTCATCCCAATAAGTCTCCCCCAAAGGATTCCTCCAAGTGCATGGGATGCCACGGATTCACCTGGATCTATACACTCATCACAGCTGGGCCAAGGGCTGCTCCTGGGGGTCAAGCTAGCGGGGTTCCAGGGATGACTTACCCCACATGTCCAGAAATATCCACCTCTACATCACGAATGTGGCTGCTGCAGCTGGAGGCAGTGGCCGTGGGCCTCCCCGAGGGCTCGTTGCCCAACAGGAGGTCAACAGAAATGGTGATGCCCTTGACACGCAGGTCAAAGGAGCCCTGAAGCTTCCTGGAGGAAGTTAGACAAGCAGTGGTTGATTCCTCACCAGGGTTAGCCACAGTTTGGGAAGAAAATGAAACACTCAATTCTTCCCACAAAATATGTGGAGCATATTTAAATCGAAGATTTAAAAACAAATAAAAGAAGATTTAATAAGAAATAAAGATCTAGGAGAAAGCCTGCAGCCAGTGTTTAGAGTCAGGGATAGGCAGAGCCATTCTGGCAAGATTCATGTCTCATAAGCAGAAAGGAAATGGCCAATGAAGTTGAAAGTATAGAAAATCCAAATGTTAACAAACAAAAGTACAATATGCAAAGTAAAAAGATTACATCATGAGACAGCTAGGCAGCTAATTTCTTTACTTTTGTCTTTTTTGTTTTGGCTGTATTGGGATTTGAACTCAGTGTCTTGTGCTTACAAGGCAAGTGCTCTGCCACTTGAGCCACACCCCTGGCCTAAACCACTAATTTCTTTCATACATGAATGGACAAAAACTTGAGACCCTATCTGAAAAACAACTAAAGCAAAAAAAAAAAAAAAAAGGGAGGGGCCTTTAGTAGTGTGCACAATGCCCTGAGTTCAAACTCCAGTACCTCCAAAGGAAAAAAAACTCAAATAAATAAAATGGTCAGAATTTCATCTCAATAAGAAATATGTTAAAAAGTAAAATAAGAAAGAATGATATTTTCCTTCATATGCTCCTATAAAGAAGTCATTAAGAAAATTTGGTGACAAAAGACAGGACAGGAGTGTGAGCCAATTCTTTTTGTGGCAATGGAACAAGTGTGGGTGACACACATACTAAGCATCCTTCTAAAGCAGCTGGCAGAGCGACAGTCACCCATGCCACTTAAAATTTCCTAGTAGCCACATAAAAGGACAAAAAGAAAGAAGTGAGATTGGTTGTAATAACGCATGGAATTAGTATGAAAATTTTTTATGGTCCTGGGGTTTCAACTCAGGGCTTCGTGCTTACTGGACAGGTGCTCTCAATATGAAGAGTATTAATGAGGCTTGTGTTCCCTTTGTTTTGTACCAAATCTTTCTTTTTTTCCTTTTTTGGCAATGCTGGGGCTTGAATTCAGGGCTTCATGCTTACTAAGCAGGTGCTCTATGGCTCGAATCACACCCCCAGTCCTTGTACCAAATCCTTAGATGTGACATTTCACAGTTTCAGCAGATCTCAGTTTCTTCCAGGTACTTTTCAAGACCTCATACAGACTCAGGACTAGAGGCGACTAGCAGGGCAGGGCAGGGCAGGTCTAAGGGATAGACATGGCCTGGTCACCCACTGGGATTGGCCAGCCCTTCTGTTAGGGACTGAATTGTGTCCTCCCCAAATTCCTATGTTGAATCCCTGAACTCCAGCTCTAGAATGAGTCTGTGTCTGGAGAAAGGCCCTTTAAAGAGGTGATTCAGTTAAGAGAAGCCATTAGGCTGGGCCCTAACCCAACCTGGCTGGTGTCCTTAGGACCTACGGAGAGACATATGCTTTTAAGAGTGTAGAAGAAAAGCCAGAGGAGGACACAGAAAGCAGACGCCACCTACAAGCCAAGGAGAGAGGTCCCAGGAGAAATCAGTCCTGTCTACGCCTAGACCTTGGACTTGCAGCCTCCAGAACCGTGAGCAAACACATCTGTGAGCTCCCAGTGTGTGTTTGCTGTGGAATCCCAGCGAACTCCTTCCATTCAAGGAACTCAGAGGTCAAAGTGCTGGTTAGTGTCCCAAGGCAGCAAAGGAAGATGGGGAGATGCAACTGAGCTGGGTGATTCAGAGGGGTGCCCCACAGACTCTCCACATTATCTAGTCATGCTGAGCCCCAGCTGTCCCTCCCATGATGACTCCTTCCCTCTGTGCCTCCTTCCTCTCCTGGACGACATGTCCATAGACCACTTCCCACATGAAGCACCTGCACTGGAATTCTTGCCTTGGGGTCTGTGGCTGTCGGAGGCAAATCAGGAAGACAAATACAATCTTATTCAAATACAAGCTCATGGTGGTCCCCAGGTAAGCAGGCCTGTCCCCTTTAGGAGAGGAGCAGGTGAAGAGAGACTCCTTTGAGAGTCAGGACTCGAGCCCTAGGCCACTTCTGGACATGGGTGCCCTCTGTCCATCACGTGGCCTTTCTGATGAGCTAGGAACACTTTGCAGCCAAGAAGGATGGGATCAAGGCCAAGGTCAAGGACCCGAGGGTCTGGAGCAGAGCCAACTTACAGGAAAGATTTGCGCACCTTCCACCTGCCCTGGACCTGGATGAAGGAGTCAGCGATGGTGAAACTCAGGCCCTGGCTGGGGAGGGGCTTCAGAGCCGAGCTGAGCAGCTCACAGCTGTGGATCTCCAAGCTGTAGGGAGAGACGGAGGGAGGCATCAGACCTGGACCAGCACCTGGCCTCACCAGGGACCTCGCTCCCACCTTTGCACCCCCACCTGCCACAAGGGGGACCTGCTTCAGGCAAGCACCTGACTCCCAGGCCTGGATCAGGGGACACTCCTGTGGAGGGGGTATCTCTGCTTTTGTTCCTTTTTACAGAGGGGAACTAGACCCAAGGAAGGAATGTAACTGCTCACAGCACCATGAATCTCAGGGGCCTGGGTGGATCCTGTAGACACTGGGGGAGCATCTCCTCGCCCAACCTTGCCCTACCCCACACCCAGCTAGGGGAATTAGATTCAGTGCAGCCTGAGGCCGCCTCAGAGAAGACACAGCCTGAGGGCTGACAAGACCTGTCTGTGGGGAAGAATGGCCAGATTCCAGTTTCTTTGCCTGGCACATCATAAGTGCTCAATAAATGTTTGCTGACAAACTGAATAATGGAAGAAATAAATGAAGCAGTCAGTGGTAGTGAGCAGGGAGGGGGAGCAGTGTAGGACTGATCGCCCTCCCCCCACTGTCCATCCTTCCAAAAGCACATCATGCCTTTTAAAAAGCCTGAGCTTCTTATGTCTAGTGATCTATCCCTTAAAGGTGGCAAAGTTGTCACCTCCTCTGGGAAGCCTTGCCAGTCTCTCCCATCTACAAAATGCATCAACAATTGGGCGAGTGCGTTTCAGGTTTCAGGTCTATCTTCCCCTCCAGGCTGTGTGTAGTGACCGATTGGACCCTGGAGTATCATTCTGTAGGAGGAAGCACTGTCAATCCTGTTCTACAGATGAGGAAACTGAGGCTCAGATCACACAGCTGGTAGGTCCTTGTTAACATTTGCTGCATGATGAATGCAAGAGCTCAGTTCCCTCCCAGAATTCCCTTCTGAACTCCTGCTCTCTGCCCTAAATAGGTCACTCAGCCCAGTCCCGGGACTCCATCTCCTTCCCTTTCCAGCCCTCCTTCCCAGCCACCTGTTGAAGTCATAGTGTCCTCGGCCGACATGTTTGATCTTGAAGTCCCCGGTTAAGTCCGGTAGTGTGATCTTGTACAGTTCCCTCTGAAGAGCCAGCAGCCCCTCCTTGGCCGCTGTAGACAGGGAGAAAGCCGGGAGTCAGCTTGGTCTGCCTGCTCCCTCCCCTGCTCTAGACTCTTCAATGGCTCCCAACTGCCTGGGGTAATGAGGCCAACTTCCTGATTAGCTTCGATTACAGTAGGTGGCTATGGAGCCCCTGTGCACCAGGCAGCAGGGGAACCTCTCAGGCGCAGTCCTGTGTGACAGTGCTGAGTGGCAATGGTCACGCCCACGTTACAGATGAGGAGACAGACCACCTCTATCAATAACCCCACCACGGATCTGTTCTCCCTGGAACCTGGCTGTGGAGAAGAAACAGGAGGATTTTAGGACTGGAACTCTGGCTGTAGCATCTTTCTAGCTGAGTGACTTTGAACAAGTCCCCAAACTTCACGTTTTCCATCTGTCGAAAACCAGAGATGATACCTTCCTCGCTGGGGCGGTAGGGAGGATAAAGGCAATTACAAAGCCAGGTGGCAGCTCTGAGCATAGCCAGCGCTCATGGTGGGGCCTGGCATGCAGCAGGCGCAGAGTAAATGCTCACCACAGCAAAGCAGGGCTTATATTAACAGAGACATGGGAAAGATGAAGCCAACTAACTTCAGAGTCGCTTCAAGCTTACTTAAACATGGCACGTGCATAGAGGGAAGGAACAGAAGAGGAACGCTCTGATTTTAGGGTTTCCATGCAAACAGCAGTTAGCAAGCCCACTGTTTGTTTGAGACATGAGGGACCCGGGAGTCTACCCCCAGCAGAGCCTGGATGCACAGCTGACTAGAGGCCTCTCCTTTACCTTTTCAACTTTCCCTCTTCTTTCTAGCAAATGAGTGTGACAGGGTCCCTCTGCCTGGAATGCCAAGGGACCCTTGTCCCTGGCTAATTCCCACTGCCATGTCCTACTGGAAGCCCTCCCTGATTTCCCTCTCATCCCTATCCCATCTGGGATCCTGACAGCCCTACCCGCCTGAGGGACTGTTATCACCTGCATCTGACAGATAAGGCAATTGAAGATCACAAATGGGGCATTTTGGGTGGGTACATGCCCTAGCTCCCTTGCACCTTAGACAGAAAAACTTGCAGCTTTGTGTCAGCAATTTACAAAATGTACTATTACTTTTATCTCCTTCCTGTCCTTTCTTTTGATGGTACTGGGATTTGAACTCAGGGCCTCATACTTGCTAGGCAAATGCACTACCACTTGAGCCACGCCCCCAGCCCTGTTACTTTTAGTTTGTTTTTCTTGTTTTTGCCCGGGGAACCCTTTTACCGGTTCTTTAAAGTTGAGGAATGACATACACAGAGCATCTAATGGGCGCTCACCTTAAAGGTATTGCTAAGTAATTTTAGAATTTTGGTAAGCCCACGTGACCACCCTGATACAGCAGACCGGCCCTGATACAGCAGGTCCCAGCACCTCACAGGCACCCTTTTCTCCTCTGGGGTCTCCACCTTCTTGCAGAGATAACTGCCATTCTGACTTCTGGCTTTAAAGTGTGTTTCCAAATTCCACCAAGGATTTTCTAGCAGGTGTGCCCCAGGCCACTGGGGTGGCACTGGCTTAGTGTCCTCTCCTGGCTGCGTTCTCTCCCCATCTCACCTGCCCCTGCTACTTCCTGGAGTTATCTCACTCTCAACTTTTTTTTTTTTGTACCAGAACTTGAACTCAGGGCCTTCACCTCAAGCCACTCCACCAACTCTTTTTGTGTTAGGTATTTTCAAGATAGTATCTTGCGAACTGTTTGCCCAGGCTGGCTTTGAACCATGATCCTCCTGATCTCTGCCTCCTGAGTAACTAGGATTATAGGCGCCCAGCCTCACAACTTCTTAAGCTCAAATCTTTGTTCCTTTCTGCTAGCGGAGAACTCAGCTAACACAGGGAATGTGTCCAAGTCACACAGCTGGTGGGTGACCAGCCGGAATTTCAGCAGGCCCCCCAAGGGAGGCAGAAGCCTGTCTATGACCCCGCTGTGCCCAGAGCAGTCTGGTGCCACCAGCACGGCTTCTTACCATACTCCAGGCCCTTGTTAGTGATCCTGGCGACCAGGCCGGGGTTGGCACCCAGAGCCCCCAGGGTGGACATGAGCAAAACCCCAGCAGAATGGGTGGCAGGGTGCTGGTTAAGATTCCCATCCTGGATCCTGAGTGGAGTGGACAGGGATTGTCACACTGTGGCCTGGGCCTGGCTTAAGTAACCAAGACCCAGGATGACTGGGGCGGTTTCTGAGAGAGGGAGGGAGGGCTCCTGTGAACGGGAAAGGGAGGCCCAGAGACTGGAACCTGCTTGCAACACCTTTGGGGTCAAAGGTTGAGGCCAGCCTGGGCTAAAAAGCAAAACTCTGTCTCAAAAAAGAAGTTCAAGTGCCAGGCAAAGGAAGGGGAAGCAGAAGTAACTGTTGCCAACAGCCTGTGGCTATTACCGGCAGCAATAACTCTGTGGCCAATTGCCTGTTTTCCTGCTCAGGTTACAAGAGGACAGGTGGGTGCCAAGTTATGATGCCTGCCCGCCCTCCCCACAAAGACCCCACACTTATCACAGACCTGCCTCCTCTCAGTCAGTCTCTCAACAGCTCAGCTAGGAAGGCCTTGTGTCACAGATGAGAAAACTGAGGCTCAGAGCAGCCACTGGCTCACTCAAGATCATATAGCCGGGTATGGCAGAGCAGGGAGGAAAATCAGGTATGGCACCAGCAGGACACAGTCCCTTTATAGTCAACTCTGTTTAAAAAAGAAACCTGTTTTCCTCCCATGGGAAAAGAGGCTCTCGCAAACCTTGCTGGTGGTCTCATTTTCTAGAAGGCAGCATGATAAATCTTTAAACATTAATCCCCAGCACCAAAACAAAGTAAACAACCCAACAACAGCAAAAAGCTCTTTGAACAGCTTGTGCCCTGTGACCTGCAATTCTACTTCTGGAAGTTGCTTCACTGTTCGGAATCAAGTCAGTGTGCAAATATGTCACCGCAATTGCCTGATTCTGTGCTGTGTGACACAAGCTGGGGCATAAGACCCAGTCTGAAGTATCCAAGGCTGGGGCCTCTGTTACCTGAATAGTGACAGGGCCTTTAAAGCAAGGCTGTGACAGGAGCCACTCCTTTCCAAAGTTGCCCTGGGCAGTTATTTTTACTTCCTCTTCCTTTCCCCTTCCCTTTGCCTGGCATTCTACACTGTGGTATTTGTTGTTGTTCATTTGTTTTGCTTTTGATACAGGACCTCTGGCCTCAGACTCCTGATCCTCCTGCCTCAGTCTCCAGAGTGTTGTATTCCAAGCTCTAAAGAAAAGCTGCAATCAGATGATGAAGATGTTAGCCAGTAAATCTTTCCTTAGGTGTGCAGAGCAGAGGCGACCTGGTGACCTTCAGACAGCATAAATACGTGAGTCCCCTTCATCCTTACTCCTGTGCAGTGACTGGCACACCCTGGGAAAAGTTGCAGTGAAGTAGTATGTCTGTCTAAAGGGAGTACAGGAGGGAGTGTGGCTCGGTAGTTGAGCACTCGCTTGAGGCTGTGGGTTCAATCCCCAGCACAGGAAGAGAGAGAGAGACACAGAGAGAAAACAAATACAGCAAATAGACCCATTGAGGTAGGCTAAAATTAGGGAAAGTTCATAGAAAAATATTACATCTTAGATTAACCATGCTTTGGCTCAGGAAGCACCCTCACCTGGCTGGGAACCATCCATGCCCCGCCCCTTGATTATTGGATGGGAATCACCTGGTTCTCCCCTTCCCATAGGCTATCATAGGTTTTATAAGCGCCTGAAGACTCCACCCGGTTCCCGAAATGCTCCCATTTGTGTTTTCCTTTCCTGACTTTTAATAAACTCCATTTATACCCACGTGTCCTGTCTGGACTCTGCCCAGTGGGATACAAAGAATCTGGAAGTGTTCTGATCACAGACTGCCCCAGTGCTACTAACACCACGAGATCAAGGCCCATTGTGATGTTCCAGCCAGAGAATAAAAGAAACACATGCTAGTTGGTCGTGGTGGTGCACAACTGTAATCCCAACACTCAGGAGTGAGTCAGGAAGATCAAGAACTCAAGAACTGCCAGGCACTGGTGACTCATGCCTGTAATCCTAGCTACTCAGGAGGCAGAGATCAGGAGGATCATGGTTCAAGGCCAGCCTGGGCAAATAGTTTGTGAGACCCTATCTTGAAAATACATAACACAAAAAGGGCTGGTGGAGTGGTTCAAGGTGTAGGCCCTGAGTTCAGTCCCAGAACCGCAAAACAAAAAAATATAATTCAAGGCTAGCTTGGGCTACCTAGTATGACCCTGAGACAGAGCAGAGAGAGAGAGAGAGAGAGAGAGAGAGAGAAAGAGAGACAGAGAGAGAAGCACTGGATGATGAAACCCCACCCAGCATGTGGTCTTACCGCTCACTGTCTCTCTGCACTCCTTTCCTTCCCTCTGTCAGCCCTTTGTACCCCTGAGTTCTGAACAATGAAGCTTTGTGGATGATAGCTGATATCCTCCAGGTGCCAGGTGGTGAATAAACCTGATTTTCTTCCCACGGACTCTTTCTGTTTTTGAGAGGCGAGCAGCCGCCACCTGGGGCTGCTGACCTGGCTGTGGAGGTAAAGGTATCTTGATAGGGATGGATACTCGCAAGCTGCCAGGGTCCAGTGACACCAAGATGGCGGGTTCTATTTCTTTTATCAAAATAAGTCTGGAAATACATAGCAAGGAGTTATGAAAGGCTGTTCTGAATGGATATTCGAAAATCTTTCGGGGCTGGGATGTGTAGCTCAGTGGTAGACTGCTTGCCTAGTTGTGTGAGTTCATGGGTTTGATCCCCCCACTCCACATACAAAAACATTGTTTTCTTTATTGGTATTTAAATTTTGTTCATTTTCTTGGGGTGTAGTCCTGCACATATATTTATAGCAAGTAAAGATAATATAATTTCACTTTTGAAAACAAAATTTATGGTAGGGATTGTGCTTGATTTTAGTTTTGCCCCAGCATTTCCCATGTGACCTTTGTTCCATCCTCATCTCCAGGAAGCCTTCCCTGATCACTCAGGGTTAGAGAAAGGGCTGCCCCAAGGTCCCAGAATCCCTTTCACTCTCTCTTTCTTGGTAATGGTCTTTTAGAAACGTGGCCACAAATTCTCTTATTCTACTCCCATGGAAATGTACAGATTCTGCCCCCTTCCCGTGGCACTGGGTAAGGTCTTTGTGATCAGCTCAGACTGAATATGGTGGGAGTAACAGAGGGACTTCACCATGGCCTACAGAAATGCCCAGAAGGTACCAGGGTTAAGACCAAAACTCCCCATGTTCAACACAGGGAGCCCTACGTCCCAGGCCGCCTTGCTTCTCTGTGCTATGCTATTCTTGTCACCAAGGCTGAGGTCTGCGGGGGTCTTAACTGCCCCTGACTCCCACCTGGCCAGCCTGGTTTCTCCTGAGTGGCAGCACTGAGCCTTCTGCTTCCTGTGGTGGGGCTTCCACAGGAACTAGAAGGAAACTGATTTGTTGTTCTTGTTGTTTTTGCAGCACTGAGGTTTGAACTCAGGCCTTTGCACCTGCTGGGCAGGTTCTCTAATGCTTGAGCCATGCCTCCAACCCTTTTTGGTTTGGATATTTTGGAAATAGGGTCTCGCTTTTTGCCCAGGCAGGCCTGGATTGCCAGCCTCCTATTTTATACTTCCCGTCATTGCTGGGATGACAGACACACACAGATATCACCACACTCAGCTATTGGTGGAGATGGGGTCTCACAAAGTTTTTGCCTAGAACCTCAATCCTCTTGACCTCAGTTCCCTACTATGTGCCAGGCGCACACACCTTTCATTCCCACCGCCGCCCTGAGGTAGAATCTATTCTTATCTTCTGATGAAGCTCTGAGTGGGAAGTGATACAGATCACATTCACCTGGCAGGGTGAAAGCTACAGTCGGGAAAGGCCTCTCTGTGTAGGTGATATGCTGAGCTGGAACCCTAAGATAAGGAGCTGCTGACCTTGGAAGCACTGGTCCAGGTGGAGCGAGCAGCAAGGACAGAGTTCACCGGTGTGTTTCTAAGGTCCCTAGGGCCTCTGATTCCTGGACCTCTGCCTGCCCAGTGAGAAAGTTTCCACCCAGCCCTGCACCTGCCTCGTGATCCATGACAGCCTCTTTTCCTCCCTGGGCCTTGCTTCTTCCTCTTGTTCATAAAGCAGGTGACTCCCATGGCCCTTTGAGCCTGGAGGCAGGAGAGGACAGAGTGCAAAGGGGACCTTGTGGAGACATGAACGCACTCTTTCTGTGGCAGCCAGGGTGTCTCTGGCTGGGGGCTGTTCATAGGGCTGGGAAATTCCCACAGTAGTGACCTTTAAACCTTAGAGCTGCCCAGCCAGCATGCCACGTGGCCCAGCAGCTGGCTTCTACCCTTGCAGGTGCCTTCTCCTGGCTCAGGTCCCTGCTGATGTCCTGGGACCCACCCAGTGCCAGTCAGACCTCAGGTCTTTCTTCTACCAGGCTGACAATAACAGGTCCATAAAGTGACAGCCATATGTATGCTTGGTCCTCTTGCTGGGAAAAGGACTGTTACCAAGGATGGTGACATGTTCTGCATGCAAAACTGTTTTCTGAAACCCAAAAGTGGAGTCCTCAGTGCCCAAATCCTGAGTGCCACACAGTAGATAATAGTTGATGGGATGAGTGAACTTCAAGTGTAATTTTATGGACTCAGGCCGATGGCTGGGTTTGAATTCCAACTCCCCACTGGGCGACCTTGGGCGCTCTGTGACTTAATTACCTCATCTGTTTTTGGGCTCTGCCAGCGGCAGCATGATGTGAGGTTAGAGGTCAGGGCACTTTCCCTGCTCCCTTCGGTTGGATCAGTTCTGGCAGTGGCCATGTCCGGCCTGATCACCCCTCACCCACAGTTCTTGCCCTCATGGGGTGGGGACACCTGGTTCCTTTTTGTACTGCTTCCAGCTGAAGGAGCTTGTCCTGCTTGGTTTCCTTTAGCCTGTCCCCTGGACCTATAAACAGCCCTCTCATTCAAATCTCAGAACCTACCAGAACTGGATTCTGGCTTCTGATCCAGACTCTGGTTAACACGATTTGGACCACTGAGCCCCTCTTCTGGACTTGGGTCTGTGATAGCAGCATCTTCCTCTCAGAGAACTTCAAGTTATTTTCCAAAGCCTGCACAGGTCTTGTGGGGGTGAGGAGAAGGACTGTGGAAGATAGAACTAAAATGCACAGCAACCATGCTCTGCCAGGCTTGGGGCTACTGAGCAGGATTTTACAAAGGAGGTGACATCCTGCTGGGTCTGGAAGGTCACATGGAAGCTTTGCTAAGGCGGGCGGAAGGGCAGACCAGGGACGGGAACAGCAGGTACTGACACAGAGTGGGTAACTGTGGAGATGCAAAGGGGCCTGCTCTAGCTCTGCTGCTCTCTGCTCCCCACTCCCCTCCCCCCAAATGCACAGAAGGGTAGCAGCTTGGAACCTGTGTCAACAAATCACCCAGAGATCTCGTTCAAATGCAAATTCTCACCCGTCAGGCTCCTTTGGGGGCTGAGACTCTAGTTTCTAGTGTGCCTGAGGCTGGGTAGAGAGCAGGGCTCCCTCAACCCCACCATCCTACCATGCTCATATTTAATGCGGCTCTCCAGGATGGCGCCACTTCTGAGAACATGGCTCTGGATGGAAGACAATGCTGTTATGAAGAGCTGCAGTTCTGGATCTCTGTGGGGTGCTGTGGCCCCATCCCCTGAAGGTCCATGGGCATGCATGCAAGATCTTGACACGTGTAGATTTACAAAGGAACAGTAATAACGCCAGTGAGGGACTGGAGTGGATTGAAGACTGTGTGTCATCTACTTGGGCTGTCAGGACACCCCTTGAGCAGGGCTGGCCCCATAGGACACGGACCTCACATTAGGGGGAGTCTAAGGGACCCCAAGCCCCAGCTCTCCTCCATCCCCTTTGCCCCAGCCATCAGCCTTCTGAAGTCCCCGCTGGGGACTCAGCTTCTGAAGGCCTGATAGCTTTGGGACTGCAAGGAGTTTCTGTTAAAATGGAAATTTTTCAGTAAAAAATTCTTTGATATTTCCCAGAGCTGAGGTTACTGAATTCTTTTTCTGAATTCCAGAAAGCCTTGGCTTATAGAGGAAACTGAGTCCACAAAGGGAGAGAGACTGGCCTATCACACTGTGAGCCCATACTGACCTGGTGAGGTTGAGCCCAATTGGAGTCAGCAAGGGCTCTTGTTTGAGGCCAGGCCCACTCAGACACAGTCCTGGATCACATCTGAGACTACCCCAAAGTCACTTTGGGTCACGTAGATATAGGACCAACTTCTGGGTCATTTTTTTTCCCTTTATTTCTGTTGCAGTATTGGGTTTTGAACTCAGGGCTATGTGTTTGCAAGGCAGGCACTCTACCACTTGAGCCACACCTCCAGCCCTCTGGGTCATTTTTTCAACAAGTCTTTATTAGGCACCAACTATGTGGTGGGCTTTGGGAATGCAGCTGTGACAAGCCAGACACAGTCCTTACAGTTTGGTGAGAACAACAGAGCTTATTCAGAGCTAACGTGTCCTATTTGTGACAACTCCTCTACCTCAGATTTTGTGTGCATTTAATTCTCAGAACAGTCTTGTGAAGTAGGTACTAACAGGACGCTGAGAAAATTGAAGACCAGAGAATCAAATGAACTGCCTGAGGTCACACAGCTGGTAAACAGGCAGAGCTGGGATCTGAACCTTAAGCAGCTGAGACCACAGCTCAGGCTCCCAACCCCTGTTCCATGAACTAATCAGCTGTACCACTGCTTCTCTCAGAGGACCTCACGCCAAGGAGGAAGGCAAACTCTCCTTTTCAGAGGACAAAAGAGTCTAGCTGACATTTGCCAGTCACACAGTCCACGGTGGGGCTGGGTTGGTGTTTGAAACCAGGGCTAGGTGACACTGTAGCAGGGCGCTGAACACTGCTGAGTCCTCTTAGGCAAGTCACATGACCTTTCTATGATTCTTCTGAAACATGAGGGCCACCTGTCAACTTTTGGAGGTTGTCATGAGAATTAAATGGGACCATTAGCTGGAAAAAATTGCGTAGATAGGGCCTCTCCTGGCCACCAATGGGATGTGGCAAAATGTGTTCCCTGGGATCTGCCCACCCCCAGCACTCCTCCCTTCTGCTTAATAAGTCAGTATCTCCCCAAAGAACACTGGGCAATGCTTAATCCTGGAATGGTGACCGATAGGGAGTCTGGAGCAAAGAATCCTGTATTCTTTTGAAATTTATTTTCTATTTTGTCGACTTGAATTTTGCATGCCATACATTCACTCATTTAACGTGTGCGGCTCAGGGATTCTGAGACATCCAGAGTTGTGCAACCACCGGTACAGGGTAACTTCAGGGCATTTTCAACATCCCGGAAGCAAGCGTGTGCACATTCACAGTCACTGGGAGAAGGCAAGCCTCAGCCCAAAGGAGAAACTGCCTCAACAGTGGGTTTGTAGGCAGCTTGGCTGGTCACTTGGGCAGTGTTGGGGAACGAGCAATAACCCAGACCCCAAGCAGCTGTCTTTTCCCAGTCATCAGAGGGAGGCTCCCAGGGGATGGATACCTGCATTTATTCTATTGAGCTGTTTTGATATTTGAGGATGTAGCAGGAAAGGGTAGGAGGGTTCCAGCTATCTCCCAAGACAATAATGGAGAGGGAGCAAGGGTGAGGAGGGCAGGCTGTGTTTCCATACTTAGCAGTTATTCTCCCCGGCGCTCTTTCAAACATGTGAATTGGATTGTGTCGTTCTAGTGCTCAAAGCTCTCCAAGGGCCTCCCTGATCTCTTGGAACAAAACCCAGGGTCTTCACAGCCTCTCAGCCTCACCCTGAGCTATGCTTCCCTTAGCTCTCTTCCTTCCAGCCTCTCTGGCTGCTCTTCTGGTCCTACACAGGGCTTCCACTAGCCTTTAGCAAACAGAAACAGGTACACTCCTGGTGGACAAATTAGAAGATTTTTGTTTCTTGAGTCAGGTGCCTTTTCATAGTGCACAAAGTAGGCAACCGAATATAGGAGTCCTGCCTCAATTATACCAAGTCCCCAAACACACAGGATTTTGACATCTGGGCGGGGCAGAAAGAATACAGACTCTGGTAACAGAAGGGTAGGAATCCCAACTTTGCCATGTTGCCAGCTGTGTGATCTGGCACATGGCCCAAAATAAAAGAACTGAACAGGTCCCTCGGAGGGGAATGTGGGCCCAAGTGAGAGTCCCCTGGGCTGTGAGGGTTTGATCAGTGGCCCTCCCTCCCCTGTGGCCCTAGAACCCCAACCTCCATGTAAGAGAATAGTGATGTTAGCAGGGTGTGCGTTTTCCTTAAAAACCACTTTTACCTGCTTTTCCTCACTACAAACACTTCTCTCCATCTTTACCATCATCAGCCTGGCTGAAGTGTGAATAACAGGTTCCTCCTTTGTGCCACCCCTTTCTACTCTCACCCTTCCAAAATGTCACCAAAATACCTTAAAAAAAATTATTATCATTGTCAGTACCTAGGTTTGAACTTAAGGCTGCCTTGATGCTTTCTACGCAGGTGCTCTACCACTTGAGCTATGCCCCCATAACCTTTTTTTGGCTTTAGATGTGTTTTTTTTTTTTTTTTTTTTAATATAGGGCCTTACACTTTTGCCTAAGGCCAGCCACAGATCAAGATCCTCCTAACTCTGCCTCCTGCATAGTTGAGACCACAGGCATGTGCTGCTAGACTGGGATTATTCTCTGAGATAGGGTTGCATTAACTTTTTGCTCAGGCTGGACTCAAACCACGATCTTGCTATCTCTGCTTCCCAAGGAGCTGGGATTACAAGCATGAGCCACTGCACCTAAGCACAAATTACCACTTTCATGTCTCCCACTCCTAGCCCACCCCACTGCAGGCTTCAGCCATTCAGGTGTGTGCTTGCTCAGACTGAAGTCCACAGCTCATAGAGGCCTCTTGGGCTAAGGAACAATGTGAATTGCCTCTAAAGGCCTGAAACAGTCCTACCAGTTATCCCAGGAAAGGAAATGGTTCAGAGCCCTCAAGGGAATCCACTATGAGTCCCAGAGAGTCTGAGTGGTCATCTGGCTTCCTCTCCAGGGCCCAGTGCTAATTGCATCAAGGATGACTTCTGTCCTGCTGTGGGCATCTTGGCTGGGCAGGGATGACAGGCTGCACAGAAGAGCTGCTCAATAGCGACACCCCATGGCAGTGTACGGATACCCTCTGCCCACATGAAAGAGCAGGGCTTATTCCCTGTGGACTAAGGAAACCCCAAGTATACCTGGAACAATGAGACTTTCTGCTAATGTTGGCATGGGGGAACTCAAGAAACTACTGCAGAAAAAAGAGGCTATGGTAGCTACTGAAGATTGGTACTGCCAACCATGCTGGATACAGCCAGTGAATAAATAAATGAATGGTCACAGAACAAGAAACAATACCAGCCCAATGAATCCACAGAAAAAAACAGGCTTTTTGTGAAGAACAAAGAGAAATGCTATGGTTACAATGGAAACTTTGCTCTGAAAGAGACTCAGAAACCCTGAAATACAAACCACACACTTTTCCAATGAACACGCTCCCCTGGATCTGACTTCAGAGAAGTGAGGCCCTCGGTCAAGGTCTAGTGAGGGTTTCCTGGAGCAGGGTGGCCCATGACAGGGCCCCTCGGGTACAAGTGTCCAGTGCTTCCACGCCGGTGTCCATTGGGACCTCAGAAACTGTGAACATCTGCTCCGAGTAGCAGAAAATTCTAGGAAGACACGAATGCATCAGCAGCCAGAAGTGCACCCTTGTTCCTGAGAGTGGGCCTGGCTGGGTTTTTAAGAAGGAAATTTGGTTGCAGAGATGGGGAACGAGGGAGCAGAGAGGGGCCTGTGTGCTCCAGAAAGGCCAGGGCAAGGGGGGTGCTGGGGACCCCGCCAGTGTGCTAATACGCCAGTCAGCATCAGCAGTGCCATTCTGGGGATCTGTCAGCAGCTTCCCTGGCAGCTGTTCCTTCACTGTGGCAGCCCCCTCGCCTTTGGAGGCCTTCATTTATCATCCTGCCTTGGGGCAGCTCCAGGGGCCCTGGTTCCAATCGAGGCTGCAAAATTGCTTCTTTCTGCGCCTGTGCACCCTTCACTCAGTTTCACAAGTGAAGGAATGAAATCATGCTATGGTGACGTCTTGTTTTTTAAGGATGAACTTGGTAAATGCAGGGAAGGTGGAGGATGTCCCTCTGTTCTCTCACCTATTTTTCTACTGTCTCTGAGTATCATCAGAGTCCCTGGTCAAACTGGGGACTAACTGACTGGTTACCGGGAGTGATGGAAAGAGAGGAACCAGGCTGACACACGGCTTTCCTGTGAGGGCCACATGTGTCAGGAAAGCTGTGGACCACAGTGGGGAATGCAGTGCTGAGTGGTGGCTTTGGTGCAAAGCCTGGCTCTGACTGAGTGGACAGGACCTCAGGGCACAGACAAAAAGGATGGAGGCCAATGCATGTGTAAGAACTTAGGACGAATCTGAAGGCTGGGCTCCTGGCTGGACGCCAGGTGGCCCCAGAGGTGACAGCTGAGCCTGAGGAGTTGGTGAGAGTGACCAGGGAAAGCTGCAAGTGGGGAAGAGAAGAGGCCTTGGGTTCTGGCATGGAAGGCAGGGATGGGAGAACAAGCCAAGGAAAGTATGAAGGCCCAGGGAAGAAGCAAGCAGCCAGAAGCAGAGGGAGCCTGGGGACCCGAGAGAGGAAGGCAGTCTGAGGGACAGGGACGGTGATGTCAGACGCTGCAAGGGGCATGCTGTTTATTGCCGGCATGCCTATCTCAGGCCTGGCACTGAGGAAGTGTTGTAGGAACGCTTGATGACAAGAGACCTGGGAAACTCACCTGTTGAGTCAGAAGCCTCAGGTTGCTGAGTTGGATCTGGGCGGGCATGGGGAGGGAGAAACCTCTCTGCAGCTTCTCTGTGATGCAGACCGATGGTGAGGCAGGGAGGAGGAAGGAAAGCAGATGCAGGGGTGGGTGGAGGGTGAGAGACCAGCCCTGGCTCAGTAGGGATTGGCATGGGTGCGCATCCTAAAAGGAAGGCTACCCCGGGATCTGCGCCCCACACCCCATGTTGTCCTCCGTTGGCTCTAGGCCCTTCCAGGAGCCATGTGGTCCTCTACCCCACAACTGCCCTCCAAAGGGTGCAGGGTGCTGGTCTACACCACGCCTGAGTGTCAGCCAGGGGCCGCTACTTGTGATGGTGTAGACAGAGCACGAACCTGGAATGAGGGGTGTCCACGCATGTGTACATGAAGCCCCTCATTGCTGAAGACAAAGCCAGAGATGGGCGGCACCCAGGGCCATCTCCCTCCTCCACCCCACATCCCGAGAATTCCAAATTCCAATGCAGAGTCACTGTGACACTACATAGGGAAGGAAAGTTCATATTCTATGTAACAGTTTGCTGGCTTAATTTCTAATTTCTAACTATCTAATCATACATTATGCGGGCCTGTCTTGGTTCTCTTCCCCTGGCTCTCAAAGGTTAGGACAGGCCCACCTGACTCTCTTACCAGCTTGGGAACTACAAGCCCTCGACCAAGGCTCACAGGTGACCCAGAACTGGAGAAAGACCTTGGGCTTCGATTCAGAGCTGGGATCAGACCCAAGCTCCACCTGTCGCCTGCCCTGTAAATCACTTAACCATTTTGATCTTTCATTTCCCCATGAAACCTGGAGACGCTCATAACCCCCATCCCACAGGCCATGGTAAGAACTGGCTGACATAATGGATGAAACCCGGCCTGTAGGTGCTCCCTTTTTGTCCCATCCCCTTTCTGGGTCAGTTGCCTTTGCAATTTGTTTGAGCTGACCTCAGCTTCACCACGGTGCCAGCTGCCCTCCTGCCCAGGATTAAAGCCCTTGTGTGCTTACCATTGACCTTGGGCAGCACCACAATGGGCACAATATAGTTCATGATGTCCTGCAGAAGCTTTACCTGGAGGCAGGAGAAGAGATGCACACAGTCAGCAGTGATCCTTTGATGCCCTCCCCGCTGGCCTCCCAGCCAAGAGGAGAACTGAGAGATGGACACAAGACCAAGTGGAAACTTGAAAGCCCCGCCAAGGTCATGGAGGCAATCTCTTCTGCTCTCCAGGTTCCAGAAGTCACCAGGTACAAGGCCATATACTCTGTGTTGAGGATAAGGAAGATCTTTCTTTTCTTTCTTTCTTTCTTTTGTTTTTTTTTTTTTGTGGCACTGGGGTTTGAACTCAGGGCCTCATGTTTGCTAGGCAGCCGCCCTACCCCTTGAGCCACAGCACCAGCAAGAAAATCTTTGTGTGCAAAAAAAAAAAAATGCGCTCTCTAAATGCTGTATACTAAAGGGCAAACTGATCAGACTTTTGTTCCAGTTTGATTTGCATGTATTGGTTGCACAAAGGCATTTCACTGTGATATTTCCATATATGCATATAGTGTAACCTGATCAAATCCAGCCCCTCTCATTCCTCTCCGCCTTTTCTTAAAACAATTTCAATAGGTTCCATTGTTCTGTCTTCATATATGTATACAAAATACTTGCACCATATTCACCCCCACACACACACCCCTTCTCCCTTCACCCCCCCTTCACTGGTACCCACCCCAAACGGAACCTGTTTTACATTCCTGTCATTCATTTTCAAGGGCTAGATTCCACATGAGAGAGAACATGTGATACTTGTCTTTTTGGCCATTCTTCCACTGTCATCAAAATGAGCCATGCTGGTGGCTCATGCCTGTAATCTTAGCTACTCAGGAGGCAATGATCAAAGGGATTAGAGTTCGAAGACAGCCTGGGCAAATAGTGCTCGAGACCCTATCTTGAAAATACCCCACACAAAAACAGGCTCAAGTGGTAGAGCACCTGCCTAGCAAGCCTGAGGTCGTGAGTTCAAACCCCAGTACTGCCAAAAAAACCCAAAAAACAACAACAAAAAAAACAGCCTCACAAATGCATGTGCCCTTGGGGCCAACAAACTTATCACCAACTGGTGGGGGTTAGGACAAAATTCAGAGGCAAGGATGCTTGCCAAAGTATTAAATTTAACACAAACAAGCTGCGAGCAACCTACATGTCTAACAACAGGTGAGTCACTTGACGGAAATGGTGGCACTTTGATACTTTCGTATGTGGCCGTTAAGAATGACATTGTAGAAATATCATTCACAATGCAGAGTATGTTGACTATATGCTTGAGAGAGGAAAAGGAGGCTATAGAACTCATATAGTTCCATAATTTAATTAAATAGGCATAGGAAAGGTCAAGAAAGGAACATTCCAAATTATGAACTAGAAAAATGAATGATGCTTGTTTTCACTGTTTGGCAAATGTGCAGGCTTTGAATGCTCTGTGGAGCCCGTGTTTTACTTTGGCAGTAATAAACAATTTCAAAAATCACATGGGACCATCAAGAAGATTGCCCATAGTGGTGACATTTACAACTTGTAACTATGTATGGTTTTGTTTCTGGAAGGATTGCATTTCCTACCCTAAGCTATAATTCCTGGGCTCACCAGCAAGGTGACCTCCTTCCTCTGAATGCGGGAATGTTCACATTTTTATTTTCAGTGGAAGCAGAAGTTAGTTGCCAATGTAGTGAAGTCCTGGAGACAGCCCTGACACCCGGGAAAACACAGGGAGGTGGCATTCAGCCTTCTGTTTTTTATCATCTCACTAGATGGAAACAGCTAGCTGGGTTTTTATTGGGTTTGGAGGGAAGGCTGGGGCAGTCTGACTTTGGGGTTGGGGGCTTCAAGGCACTCACTTGGTGGGAAACTTGGGGGTGTAAGGGATAAGGAGATGCTCTCCCAGAACAGGGGAAACCAGGGTTCAACCAGACACCCCTGGATTGGTGGCTCTGCCATTCACCTAGCTGCTCAGCCTAAACTGCAGGCACCATGAAGTCTCTTTCCCTCTTCACACGCCTCAGATCTCACACCAATGCTGTCTAAATCTGCTTCCAAAATACAGCTTCTTCATCTTGCTAAGGCCAGCCCCATCCTCTCACTGGACAAGGAACCAGCCTGCCATGGTCCCCGTGGTCTGAGTCTTGTGCCCTGTTATCCATCCCTTACCCCAGCCAGTGGGGCTCTGAACTAAAAAATGTCACTCCCTGAGGGAGACAGCTCTCTGCTTCTCCAATACAAAGGACTGATCTGGTCCAGTAACACAGAATTCTCCTCACTTTCTGCTCTACCCCCATTCTCTCTGTCATTGCTTTGGGCATGAGTGGAAATGACCTTTTTTCCCGTCCATTCTTCCTTGTCACTATCTTGTAAGGCTCAGCACAGCCCATCCCTGGCCTGTAATAGGTGCTCAGTAGAGTAATTAATTTGTTCACTCAGCAAATATTTGTGGAGCAGAATTTTTGTGCCCCACTGAGCACATTTTGCCCCACTGAGACCCCACCATGCTAACTTAGGTGTGTGTGTTGGGGGCGTGGGGGAGCCTGCAGTTCCAAGAAGGCAAGGGATGTGCCCTAGGCATCAGTTAGTCAGTGGAGCAGGATTCCAACTCTGGTCTCTGCCCATAAACTCCTCCCCTTGTTAACTCACAAGCAAATTAAATGCAAATGAACGAGTAGCCTCTTAAGTAATGCAGCAGACTCACCGGGAAGAAGCCAATGTTTGAGTGCTTCAGTTCCAGGGCCAGCCTGAAATGTGAGGAGGGGAAGGGAGACCAATGATCCAACTGCATGAGGACCCAGGGGCTGGGGATCCTGGTGGACACTGTCTGGCCTTCCCAGTGCCCATTCTCCCTTCCTCTTGGCACAGCCCCAGGTTCTCTTGGGAGAGTCGTATGTCCACAGCATAGTTAGTGCTGGGCTCCGGTGCATGCTGGCATGCAGCCTGCTGGTGAATAAGGGGACACCCAAGACACAGAGGCCACCACATTTCGCATTTTACAGATGAGCAAACTGACACTCAGAGACAGCAAGCAACCTACCCAAGGCCACACAGTAAAGCAGGATTGCACACAGGTCTCCCAGAAGTCAAAGCCCTGTTGCCTCCAACACTCTTTGAAGTTGGAAAACTTGCACTCTGTTCTCTAGCTCCAGGGTGCCTGCTTTGTGGAGTCCCACACCGCCCTGCCCCCTGCACACCACAGTGTCTGTGCTCAGCCAACACCTGCTGTACTGCCTGTTTCAAGGCAGGTTAAATCCACATGTTTCAGAAGCAGTAACACTTGTCAAAATGATGCCAGGAGAAATGAGCTGCTTGTAAACCTCAGGGGCTGACCTCAAGGTTAAGAAGGACAGCTGTGCACCAGAGAGAGGCGGGAATGTGGGTCAGACCCCGCATCCCATTCCAACAGCAGGGCTGGGTGAAGAAGTAGATGCCAGTCTAAACGTTAGGGTCATCATACCACCCACCTCTTTCCCTTACATCTCTCCCTGTCTCCCACTTAGCACGTCTCTCTCTTTCTTGCTCTCTGACTCTGAGTCCATCCACTTCCTCTCTCCCTCTCTTTCTATCCATGCCTCTCTCTGAGTGCTCCCCTTTCTGTGTCTCTGTCCGTCTTGCTCTCTGCTTCACATCTTCCTTTTCTGTGTTTACTGAGCACTTATTGTATCCCGAGTGTTCCAAATGCTTCAACACATATGAATGCTTCATCTATCATCATAGCTAAGCCATTCGCAAAGGAGCCCTGAGGTTGGAGACGTTTGCCCTTCAAACAAGGGCAGCCTCCTGCAGAGGCCCCACCCACCATGACCTTCAGTGCCAGGATTCAAACCTAGTCACATGGGTCCCACAGTCACTAGGCGAGGGGTGGAGAAGCTGAAGTGGGATTTCCAGGGCTAGGGGGCCTGATCGCTGTTGTGGCTCAGCATTTCCCAGTTGTGAGTTGGCCTGGGACAGACAGGTGTCCCAGGATAGGTGTCTCAGGACTAAAGCTGGGACACTTCTGAGCAAACTGAGATGGTTGGTCACCCTATGACATGTGACTCTGGACAAATCACTTAGTTTCTGAGCATCAGTTTCACTATCAGCGAATGGGCAGCTTGTGCCACTGCACGCTGTTTGAGGTTTAAATGTCAGGATGAACAAAGACAATGTCTTGGTCCTTGGTATGTCATGGTCCATGGTCCATTGCTATCCCCTGGGCTCCAGCTAGGGATGGGTGGCTTTCTCTTCGTGTCCTCCCCAAGCCCCACTTACTTGCCCACGTTGAGCTCTCCAATGAGCCTACTGTCCTGGACACCAACCTTCAAAGAAGCATTCGTACTCTGCAAAACAACGACCCAGATCATGCCTGGCTGACCTGGGACCTGGGGCCTGGGGCTCCAGGACAGGACTCCAAGACAGGGAGGTCAGCTTTGCAAAGGCTTGGTGAGAAGGCTGCACTGCTGGATCAGGCCCAGAGATCCCTAGGAGCAAGACACTGGCTTTTGCCTGTGACTCTGAGTAGTCCCATCTCCTCCCCTTCCTCCAGGAGCAGGCCTGAGTCCTGAGCCACTCCAGGAGGAGGAAGAGATGGAGCTGAGGACTGGAGCTGGGCCAGCCCTATTCCCTGGCATTGGTTCATTCAACATATCTGTATTAAGAAAGAAAACCAAGACTTCACCGCAGTGTCCTGCAGCCTGTGACCTTGAATGACCCCTTCAGAGCCCATTTTATCTGCAAAGGCGGGGGGGAGGGTGATGGGTCTCAACTTGACACTGGACGGAACTGCCTGTGCCCTCTAAGCAACTCCTGCTGGGGGGCACAGTTCAGACCTATGGAGGTGTTACCCAATGTTTGTGTAGTGACATGATCAAATGAATGCTCAAATCAACAGTGGAATGAAAACTTGAATAAATTAAAGGACTAAACAAATCCAAAAGTGAAGGAATAAGCAAAGATATTCATAGATGAATAAATGATGAATGAATGAAAAATGAGCAAATATGCAAATGAATGACCAATCGAAAGAAGGTATGAGTAAATGAATCCATGAATAATTGAATAAATGCTGCCTGCAGAAACCAGAAAAGGTATAGCAGATTTCAAGACAGCAATTAAATGAATAATTGAGCGAATTAATAATTGGATGAATAAATGAACAAATGAATGAAAAATACACAAATGCACATTGAATGGCCACAGACAGTAGTGAATGAATTGGAAACAGTACATATATTTCAAGCTCACGAAGGAATGAATAATTGAGTGAATGGAATATTGAGAGAATGAATCATTGATTGTGCAGCTGGTGAATAGGTACCATGGGAGCCAGAAGCAGGTGAGCATGCGGCTCTGCTCCCGGCTGTGCAGTCACACTAGCCAGGCTTGAGTCTGGGCAGGATTCATGCCTGGTCCCCTCCAACTGGAGGACAGTATCCCCCCATCTGTCCACACTACACCCAGCTTACCATGCCAAGCAGGAAGAGGGAGGCTAGGGAGGAGTTGGGAAGGACAGCAAAGGCCTGAGCCTCCAGGGCAGGGCTGAAGGCAAAGCCTGAGGGCCTCGTGGTCAGGTATGGTGGGGCAGAGACGGAGACCAGGAACTGCACCTTCATGTTGGGGAACCTCCTGGCCACCTGCAACCCCAGCAGGGACAACAAACAAAGGAGATCATTTTTATTGACATGTTTTAAGTGCTATCTTGCCCATTCCATGCATGCACACCTTCTCTGTCTCACCATTTTCTTAGAATTAAGAAAATGCTGGTCTGGCACCTGGCACTCTGACAACCTCTGGGCACATGGAACTCTTTCTGTTCCTCAAATGCCACACACTCTCTTGCCATCTAAGACCCTTTGCATGCTCTCTGTTCCCTCTCCTTGAATGAATGTCCATCCATTCTTTCTCATGCTGGCTCTTTCCCCTCCCTCAGTTCTCAACTCAAATGTCACTTTTCAGAGACCCATGTGGCTTCAAGGGGAATGAAGTGGAGCCTTGGTGACCTCCCTCTTCTCTGCTAGCCTCCCATCCTCCGCAAGGAAAACCCAATTTGAGTAAAAATTGTGTGACTGTAATGCAAATGCCACTTTCCAACATTGCCCAGGGCACCTGGTCTACCAGCCACACCTCCCCCAACCAATACTTCTCTCCGGAAATTTCTAGAGATGCCACCACCAGAAAGAATGATAATATGAAATGTTCACATCCCCTCCCTCTAAATTCACACATTAAAGCCTTACATATCAGTGTGGCTGCATTTGGAGCTGAGGCCTCAATAGAAGTGAATGAGGCTAAATGAGGTCATATGTGTTGGGCCCTGAGCTGACAGAATTAGCGGTTCTCATAAGAAAACACTCATAAGAAAGACTCCCAACTCCACCCCGTGTGGGGGCCTGTGAGAAGGAGGCTATCTACAAGTCAGGAAGCCAGTCCTCACCAGAAGCCAAATCTTGGTCTTCCAGTCTCCAGAACCATGAGTGTGTCTGAGATTAAAATCAGTCTGTGATGTTCTGGTACTCCAGCCTGAGTGGATGATGACAGAGCCTTCCCTTGCCCACCCTGTCTAAAGCAGCCTCATCTACTTTTTAGTGACACTTCACAGTCTGCACTGTTTTTATTATTGTCTGTGTACTTGACTGACATTTTCTTTCCCAAGGAGGTCAGGGATATGGTCTGTTCTGTTGGGTTCCCAGCTCAGGGCCCCAGCATATAATAAATATTTGTTGATGGATGGGCCCCGAAACCCAGCTGCACCCTCTGTGGGTGGGGAGCTTGGGCCTGTCTTTTGGGGGCTGATGGGATGCATGAAGCTACTTCTGCTATCTCTCACTGGGTTGCCTCTGGGCCTAAAGAGAGGGGTTCCTCACTCTCCACTCACTCAGCCGGGCCCAGACCTCCCCAGAAGCCTCAGGTCACCTCATGAACTGACTGAAGGACAGCAAACCCTTTCCTACCTCGGGTAGGAAGGTTCCAAGAAATTTGGTTGTCAGCTCGAATTTGGATTTTCTTGATATCTGTTACAAGAAGAGAAAAATAACTTGGGTGATTATGCTATAGATCTAGAGGAGGGGGTAACAGACTGAATACACAAAGGAACCATGGCCAGACCATATGTAACAATAGGACATTGACCCACAACCTCTACAGCAATGGGCTGGTCAGTGACTGCCGTGAGAAAGCCTAATTTGCCACCAAACCAATCAGAGAGGATGCTTTGCTTCAGCCAGCCTATACTGCCCAATCAGGACGTACCACTCCAGTTAGTTAGGCCGCCTCCATACCAACTCTCTAATCAGGGTGCCCTGCCTCAATTAGCCCACCTCCAAGCTAATGCCCTCCAATCACAGCAGCCCTTTCCTTGCCATGCAACTCCCTGCTTCCTGTTGCCTTTGAATCCTGCCAAACACAAGCCATGGCTCTGATTCACTGCTCTGAAGAAGCAGCCTCTGAGCCCCCTGCATTTGTTTCCACAGTGGGCAGCGGAAGATACTTCTACAGAGATGAGAATCTGCCATCTTTTAGGAGCAGTGTAAAATCAACCCCCCCAAGGCTGGTGGCCAGGTTGAGATGGGGTTGTACGTACACTCGGGAGAGGAGGATCACTTTCTCATGTACCAGTGAATAAATTGAGGCCTGGGTGAGACTCAGCCACTGTCATGTGATGGAAATAATGAGGAGGAGGATGTCCAGATGTGATGCCAAGGCTGGGTGACAAAATGTGATTTAGGCTAGAACTCAGTGGGCACAATGTTCATCCGTTATTCATGCTTCTCACACGCTAAGCACTAATGCCTCTCATTCATCCTCTCTCAGTTAATCTTCTGACACCCTTTTCAGGAGGGCACTGGTATTGGGGGTTTACAGATGAGGAAACTGAGATTCTGAGAGCTTGAGTAACTGACTGAGGGCCACCCAGATGGAAGGAGTGGGGCCGACATCGATCTGCCTGAGTCAGGTTCTGCCTGACTCCTGACCCTAAGGTCAGCATCTTGAAACTCTCCCAATATGAACAAAGCTTCAAATCCAGAAAGTCCGCTGGACCCAGAGTTGAGTGCTCTTTCCACATCTGGCCTCTGCCTGGGCCTTACCATGTGGTTGTTGATGGTCATTTTCAAGACTCCAGCCTCGTAGTACACAAGCCCAGCAGTGTTGAAGAAGTAGTCGGAGATGCCCATGTACACCATGCGGTCGTGGTCAGGGGGAAATGCCATTTCTGGTGGGGAAAACGGAGGTGGACTGCGATGTGCCAGCCTGAAAAACTCCCCCTGGGGATGAAGAAAACAGAGTGAGCTTCAGGAATTATAGTTCAGCATTTCCATCCCCCAAAAAAAGATGGGCCAAGGACACCAGTCAGACACTCAGGAAAAACCAATGAGAGAAAACTGACAACTGGCTTCCCAGTGCTTTTCTCTGCCAACACTGGGTGAAGGGTGTGATTCTACTCATTACACAGGGGAACATCCTGGGACATAGAGAGGTAAAGTGACTTGCCCAAGGTCACACAGCTGGTAGGTGGCAGAGCCCAGGAATTAAACCCCAGGCATTCAGAGTCCAGGGAACACACTCCTTACCACTATGTTGGCTCTGCCTCTGCCTTGCCAATCAGCACAGAAACCCATCAAAAGATCAGTGAGAGACTGCATGTTTGTCTCATCTGCTGTGTTAGCAGAAGCAAACTGTTTTGAGTATTGTGATTCTTTTAACCTGATATGCTCCCATTTGGAGTAAAAGCATTGTGTTTCTGAAAAGCAGTTGGCAACACACTGCAAAAGCAGATTATTTATTTAGCTAAAAATAATGTTGCACTCAGAAAAGCAAATTATAGATACTATAATACTATTTATGTAAAATTTACAGACCATAGAAATATTAAAACATGGACACAACACATCCCATTGTCAGCATGGGCACCTGAGTGAGGTGCGGGGAAGTGGGTGTGGGAGGCGTTCTGGGGGCCTCTGGGAGTTATTCCAACTACATTTTATTTTTTAAGAAAAACAGAAGCAAATATGATAAAATGGTAACATTTCTTCAACCTGGGTGGTGGGTATCTTGGATTGCTTAACATTCTCTGTACCTTAGAATCATGTCATCATTTAAAACTGATGACCTTGACACGCTATAGAATATCATTCTACTCTTCACCTTGGAGGATTCAGGTAATTCTACCTCACAACTCCTCCCTCCCTCCCTCCCTTCCATCAATACTTCTCTCTGTTCATCATCCTTTCTGTCCATCTAGCTGCCTGCCCATCCATCCACGCAGCAAATATTTCCTGAGCAACTGCTGTGTGACATGGCTCACATACAGCAGTGAACAAAGCAATCACAGCCCCTTCTCAGTCAGTGTAGTGTGTGTGTGTGTGTGTGTGTGTGTGTGTGTGTGTGTGTGTGTGTGGAGAGAGAGTGAGAGAAAGGTGCAGCTGAGTGCGGAGGGAGCTCTTTCAGTGAGAATGATCCAGAACTACTTGGGCAAAGACTGGAAGGAAGCAGTGGGGAGCCATGGGCATATCTTGGGGTGGGGGAGAGCACTCCAACAAGCAGCGGCAACAGCAAGTGCAAAGACCCTGAGCAGGTGGCAGGCATAGTGAGTTTCTGGAATGAGAGGGAGCCAGCATAGCTGGAGTAGGGGGAAGGAGGAAGGCAGATAGAAAGTGAGGCAAATGAGTCATTGTGAGATTGGTTGAGAAGGATTCTGGGGAACTCCGGGATGGTTGAGGCAGAGCCGTGAATGTGGATTCTCCATGCACACCTCACCTTTAGCTGCCCATCCAGGTTGTCAGCTGTGGCTGTCAGAGGTGCCACCAGATGATAGTCAATCCCAGCCACAGCATCGACTTTGGCTGTCACTAGAGACAAGGTAGATGCACGATGAGCTGGCTCCCATGCCAAGCCCCTTAAGTTAGATGGAGAGCTGTAGTGCCAGCTCCATTCCACCTCCTCCAAGAAGGCCTCCCTGAGCTCCCCTTAAAGAAAATGACCCATACCCCACACTCACAGGCCACTTTATGCCCTTTTTCCAACAGCCCCAAGATGAGTGGCCAAAACACAAGGTCAAGGGGACAAAGAGACAGCTGGGCTGGAATCAAACTCTACATGACCTTGGACCAGTCCTCATCTTCTCGAGCCACTGTTTGTTGTGTGTGAAGTAGGGGTGGTGCCAGGAGCCTCACAGATGCTGGAGGACAGGTGAGCAGGTCCATCTCCCTTTACACGCCCAGGCTCAGAAGCCAGGAGGTGGTTATCAGTGGGACACCAGCCCCAGCCGGACCATGCTACCTCTGGCTGCAGGGTCTCTGTTTCTCACAGAGGTCAAGGCCAATGAGAAGAGGATAAACATTAGCCACTCCCACCCCTCCCTGAGTCAGAGGGAAGAAGCTGGGGTTCCCCAGTCTGGCTGGTCCAGGACACCCAGCTAGCAAGGGATGAAGCCTGGGCGCAAATCAAAACCTTTTCCTGCCTCTGAGGCCAAGCCCTGGACCTGCACTGCCTATGCCCCGTGGACCCCTGTCCCAAAGCAGGAAATGCATCTTAATGAGCGTGGGCCATGGGCTGGCCATGCCCTGCTCTGTGCGGAGGCATTCCTGCTAGCAGTTTGCCAGCTGTTTAGAAAGCAAACTTCAAATTGGGACTCTGCTTCTGCCTCTTAGTGGCTCTGGGATCCTGACCAAGTCATGGCTTCCTTGAGCCTCAGTTTCCACATGTGTGAAGTGGGGCAAATAGAGCCCTTTGTGGGCACTCAACTGGAAGGAGCCCCTTGCCTGTGGCTGCTTTTTGCAGTTCACCCAGTGCTTGAGGACAGGGTGACAGCCCCATTTGAAGAATGTGAGAACTTAGGTCCAGAGAGAATGACCAAATGGCCTTGTGTCTGTCCTCAGAGAGCTGGGGTTTTGGGTTGTATGGCCCCCGTCAGGCTGGAGGACTGAGTGGCCATGGGGTGCTACCTTACTGTACTTCTGGACTTCCCACAAGACCTGGTCCAAGGCCAGCTGTACTTGAAAATAGCCTGCCCTCTCCCTTCCCACACTGGCCTGTCACTCCACCCTGCCTCCCTCCCCTCCCCTCAGTCCCCACCAGCCTCACCTGGAAGAGTCTGGATATAAGGCTGCAGCTTAGAGGACACAGACTTGGTTACTATCTTGCAGATCTAGGGAGAAGCAAAGAGGTGGTGAGCGAGGGTTTCCCACAGTGGGAACTGGCCTTTGGACCTAATGGTTGCAACAAGCTGCTAGGTCTGTTTCCTGTGGCTATAGCGAAGTACCTGAGATCAGGTAATTGATAAAAGCCAGAGGTTTATTCTGCTCACAGTTCTGGAGGCCAGGAAGTCCAAGGGAAGGGTGCCTCCATCTGCCATCTTGCTGCATCATAACATTGGGGTGGGCATCACATGGCGAGGCAGAGCAAGCGTGTGTTTAGCTCAGGTCTCGACCTCTTCTTACAAAGCCACCAATGTCCTCAGGGGAGCCTCAACCTCACGCTCAAATTTAAACCTAATTACCTCACAAAAGCCCTACTTTCTGACGTTTCCAGAACCTCCCAAACTAGCGCTGCCATCTGGGGACCAAGTGTTCAACGCATGAGTGTGTGAGGACCATTTCATAAGCCAGCCCTAACTGTGAGAGCACCCACTGGGACCTGAGCAGAGAGACTGACCCCGCTCCCAAAAGCACAGGTCAGCAAAAGCTGACCACCGCCTGGCTCGCGCCCACCCACCACCCCGTCCCAGGAAGGATCTGAGTCAGCAACAACAGATAAAGAAGAGAAAAACAGCACAACCCCTGACGAAAAACCCACATTACAACAGAAAACATAAATAGCCACCAAGGATATTCCATGGCAGGGAAAGGACTAGAGCACAGGCGATCAGGAAAAGGAACAGAGCATGACATGCAGGTGACACAGTCACGTAGCGTTCCAAGCTGCATGTGGAGCAGGAGGAATTAAGTCACTGGGGGCATGTCCTTGTCCTGGCTCCTCTGTGTCCCCTTCCCTCTGCTTCCTGTCCACCTTGAGGGGAACAGTCCCCTCTTCCACATGCTCTCACCCCAGGCGTGGTGTCAGGGGAGCCAATGACCATGGACTGAGGAAATCTTTCTTCCCTTAAGCTGTTCTCTCAGGTAATTTGGTCATGGCTACCAGAAGCAAGCAGCAACTCACCTGCTTCCCATAGACCCAGGCTCCCTCCCCAAGGTGCCCACCGCCTGGCATCCTCCTTGGACCCCCAGTTCCCTTCTCCCAGTGTCCAGCCCCTCCTGGCCTCCCTCATCCATTCACTCAGGGACCCCGTACCCTGCAGGGCTTTGCCTCTGTGGAGGTGGAAGCGGGAATTCAATCCCAGAGCATCTCTGTCACTCTGGGTCTCAGCTTGCTCAGCTGTAAAATGGGGGCCTAGGATAACCTCCCTCACGCAGAGTTCTCAGCACGGGGGGAGGGCAGTCCCTTCCTCCTCGCCCTCACCTTCTTCACCATTTCCAGCCGCTGCCTTACCTGTAAGCTTGGCTGTTCTCAGCAGTACCAAGAAATAATCAACTGCCCGAGGTGTTAGTGCGGCTCCCCCCGCCCCTCAGCATTAGTTGTACAGAAAGCTCAGCTGCTGGGGACCAGGCTAGTGGCGAACATGTGATCTGCGTTATCTCATGGCCTCACAACACCTTTGTGAAAGAAGTGTGCTTGTCCTCATTTTCTGGTTGGCAAAACCGAAGTTCAGAAAGATCAAGTCATTTGTTCAGAGTCACACAGCGGTTACCCCAGGGATTCTGGCCCTGACCCCATTCTATCATTCGTTGCTATGTATCTTTTTTTTTTCTGGTGGTACTGGGCTTTGAACCCAGGGCCTCCCGCTTGGTAAGCATATGCTCTACCACTTGAACCACTCCACCAGTCTTTTTTGTGATGGGTTTTGTTTGAGATAGGGTCTTGCGAACTATTTGACCCAGCTGGCTTTGAACCATGATTCTCTTGATCTCTGCCTCCTGCGTAGCTAGGATTACAGGGGTGAGCCACTGGCATCGGGCCACTGCTATGTATCTTGACAGTCACACATTGGTTGCCCTTTTTTAAAAAAATCGTAATAATAATAATAATGGCACAGTATTTTCAGATAGATGGACGTTTCCTGTGACCAGGAAACTCCGTCTCCCACCCAGCAGGCTGCACACACCTCCCCAAAGGTCTTTCTGCCCCCACTCTACCCCTCCAGTCATCTTCACAGGGACTTCTTCCAAAGCATAGATCTAGCCAGGTCACCACTGTCTAAAACTTTCAATGGCTCCCCACTACCCTGTGGAGAAAGCTGAAACTTATTTGCCCTTTGAGACCAAAGGGGTCTGTCTGAGCAGCCCGGCTCAGGGTTGTCTTGGGAGCTGGTGGTTTGTTAACGGAAAACCAGTCCAGCTTCTTAGTGGAAGAAGCTGGCAGGGGGTTCAGATGTGGGTGAGATTGGGAAACCTCAAGGAATGGGCTGTACTCATGCATCTTGGGTGTGGCCAAGGCCGAAAATCTCATCAGTGGTGTGTGTACCCTGGCAGGGGCTGGGTGGGGTGGAGGAAGAAGCCAGCAGGCTTTGGGAGGAAAGGAGAAGGGGAGAAAGACGGGGGAGGCTGGGGCAGGGTGGGGGGGCTTGCTGTGGGTGGGGAGCGCCCTTTCCTGGTCTCTCAGTTCAATGCACACAGGCGGTTTCTGGAGCTGGATTTGGGGTTTCAAAGGGCTCGAGAGACACCAAAGGGCTGGTTTGAGCAGCAGGGTCCAGCGGGGCTGGAGGATATGGCTGAGGGTCTCCCGCTCTGGCTACCACTGGGACTCTGCGCTCCTCCTACCTGGCTGTTTATTTTCTCCCGGAGGATGGAATTGATTTTCTTGCGGAATAGTTGGATCAGCCACCTGGAGGTTGACAGGTTGGGGGACATACCTTAGGCCCCCAGATGTCCCTGAGTTGGATTCAGGAGGCCACCTCATCTGGAAAGCCTTCCTCCCTCCTCTAATCACGCCTTGACACCCTTGTCCCTCGGTTCCAACTGTGCATACCCCATATTTGCAGCAGCCTGTTTTGGGGGTTATTTCCTTAATAGCTGCACGGTTGGCCCCTACCCCCACCCCAGTCCTCACCACTGCCCTCCTCTCTGCACACCAGCTGCATTAGCCTGCCTTGTCTTCTGGGACCTGTGTGTCCTCCCACCACAGTGCCTTTGCATGTGCTGTTCCCACCACTTAAAACACCCCACCCCCAACATCTACCTAATTATCTGCTATTTGCTCTTTTCATCAAAGTTCAAATGTCATTTCATCAAGGAAGAATGGCCAGCCCCAACACTGGGTCAGATCCTCCTGCTTTGTGTGTCCTCAACACTTTGTACCTCTTTTCCTTCTTATCTCTTTGTGTAATTACAGGTGAGCCACTCATTAGTGATGTGTGATCGATGCTTATCTTCCCCACTGGGCTTGGGGACTTTAAGAGAACAGGGCTGTGTGGCTGAGAGTCTGGGGACAGACAGACCTGACCTTACACACTCACTAGCTAGGAGATTATTTTCTATTCTCTCTGTGCCTTGGTTCAAGCCCTTCTCAGTCATGTGGACAGCATGGGGTCACGTGCATGCTGAAACAGTGCTGGCATACAGGAAGCCTTTGGTCAGCACTACTTATCACCACATTTTTACGAGTGCCTGATGGATCAGTAGATATTTGTGGGATGGATGGATGGACACATGCCTGTAGGTTTGAGATAAGCATTGCATAATCTAGCACAGCTATAAGGTGGGCTATAAGCTGGGTGTGGTGGTGCTTGCCTGTAATCCCAGCTACTCAGGAAGTAGAGGCAGGAGGATCCAGTCCAAGGCCATCTGGGAAAAAGCATGACACCCTATCTGAAAAATAAACTAAAGGTCAAGTGGTAGAGCCCCTGCCTAGCAAGGGCTAGGCCCTGAGTTCAAACCTCAGTACTGCCAAAAATGTAAATAAATAAAATGCTTAGCACAAGCCTGGAGCAAAGTAAGTGCTCAGTGCTGGCCTTGTCTGCTTCACCTGTGGCCCGACCCTGCCCCCACTCAAGGTTCTGGACAAGGCCCTGGTGGAGGCTGCTCTGCTGTGTGTTCAGAGTGCAGGCTGCGCGATGTCTCCTTCAGGGCCCTCAGCCTGGGAGAGGAGACCTACCCCACTATGCTTTTCTTGAAGCGCAGATGGACACTGTTGATATGGCTGCTGCAGCTGGAGCAGGCGATGGTGATGTGACCCGAGGTGGGGTCACTGCCCAGCTTCAGATCAGCCGAAATGGAGATGCCGTCTAAACTCAGGTCAAACTTGCCACTTGCTTTGCTGAAAGAGGACAAGGAGAAGTGACCCGAGAGGAGCATTTGTGTCCCCATGGTCACTCCAACTTTATACCAGGGCTGGAAGGCAGGTCCCCTGTTGTTCCCAACTCTGGGGGAATAGACAGTGCAGGGAGAAGAGGCAGAGCTCTTAACACCGTTGCTGTGTGACTTTGAGCATGTTTCTTAACCTCTCTGAGCTTGCATTTCCTCACCAAGGCCCTGGATCAGCAATCAGAAAACAGAGTTATATTTCAGTTTTGCCACTAAAAATCTGAGGGTTTGGGGCCAGGGACCTTAAACAATTACTGCCCCATTAATTCGTTAATGAGGTTAATAAGTGTTCCCTTGGGGACAAAATGCATTTTGTGTAAGGCAGTGAACATGACTGCTTTGTTAACTTTTCTGGAGTGTGGTGAAGTGGGGTTGCTCTTTTTTTTTTTTTTTTTTTTTTTTGCATCAGTAAATGAAAGAATAGATGACAAAGAGCCCAGGTAGCGATTCTGACTGTGAGGGTGAGCAGACTCACGCTCCTCTCTTCACCTTGCATGGCTTCTGCAGAGGACATTCTCAAAATGACTCTTGCTTTGCACCCCAGTTATTAGTAGCAGGGTCACTGGGGGAGACCCCAACATCAAGACTCAGAGTTGCCCCATTCTTCCCTGGCCCCCTGCATCCAGACTTTTCCCGTGCCTGCCTGGGAGTGGGGGCTGCATTTCCTTGCTCTTGACTTTGGGGTTGGCCAGTGACAACGGTGTGTGAGTAGAAGGGAGCATGGGCCATTTCTGAACCTGTCTTAAGATGACCGGCATGTTTCTGCTTTGCCTTTCTGCACCTTTTCTGTCACATGAATGTGTTCTGCGCAGCCACAGGAGCTCAGAGGAGCCAAGCCTGTCAGCTAGGCCCACCCCAGCTGCCACACGGTACATAAGATGACAGCATGACGGTTGTTTTAAGCCCCTGAGCTTGGGATGTTTGTTACACAGCAATAGCTGGCTGAGAAAGGGAATTCATTCTGATCCACATGCACCAACTTGGCCTTGTAGTGTCTTGCACTGGGACACCAAGGTTTATGTTGGAGCTTTTCCGGTAGAAAATTCACCAAGAAGCCCTGTGACAAGAAGTGGTAGTGGGCAAGGCAGAACTGAGGCATTCCCAACAAATACCACCAGAAGTTTGCCCAGCAACCCCCTGGCACAGCACACAGACTCACATAAAACGCTTTCTCGCCTTGCACCTGCCCTTGACCTGGACGCTGGCACTGTTGATGGAGAGTTTAAGGCCCACACCAGGCTGCAGCCTTATCTGGGGACTGGGAAGCTGGAATCTGACGATAGTTATGCTGTATGAGAGAAACGGGTGGTCAGATTCCTGGGTGCCTGGTGAGAACTTGGTTAAGGGCCTCCCCACCAACCATTCCAGGGGTCATCCAGAAGCTCCAGGAGCAGCCTCAGCAAATGTGGGGCTGGAGAATCTTCCAAGGCAGACAGAGCTGCCCTTGAACTGCCTCCTCCTCAACATACTGTTCTGCTACCCTGCGCATATCATCCAGTTATCCCCAGCCTCAGTCTCTTGGTTTGTAAAATGGGCACAGTCATCTCTATCTTGCAGGGTGTGTGACTATCAACGAAGGCAGCAAATGTTAAACTATTGACTCTGGAAAGGTGTGGACTGTGTCTGTCTGTCTGTCTGTCTTCACTATTGTAGCCCAGAGCCTACTAGGTCAGACACATAGAGTAGGAGCTCAAAATATTTGTGGAAGGCTGGCAGAGAGATAGAGCATCTGCTTAGCAAGTGTGAGGCCCTGAGTTCAAACCCCAGGGCTGCCAAAATGCATGCATGCGTGTGTGTGTGTGTGTGTGTGTGTGTGTGTGTGTGCGTGCATGAGAGTGAATGGGGGCTTAAAATTCTGTAGGGGACACTTGTGGATCTCCTACCCAGCACCCACACCCCCTTCTTGTGATAGCAGAATTTGGTGGGGGCCCCTCCCACCCCTGTTACACAACACACCAAAGAAAGCTGACTCTTCTGCTGTCTTAGGGGGCGGGGAGAGCTTTAGGGTGTGGCTTGGGCTTGGCCAATCAATGTGTCCCATTCCCTGCCTCAGCTGTGGGTTCAGGGGTGCGCCCATGACCTAAGACGGGTCAATGAGAGCGAATCTCCAGGCTTTTGTCTGAGTTGCAAGAAGATGGTCCTCTCCTTCAGAACGGAATGCTGAGGCGGAGTTTCAGGTGGCTTGCTTGTCTCTGGATGGGGACACTGTGCCCGGGAATTAGGCCTCTCCAAGGAAGTGATGCTGAGTGGTGGCATAAGAAAGGAGCAGGGTCCAATGACATTTGCGTCTGACTCCCGCTGAACCTGGACTGCTCCGGGGACTTTTCAGTCATGTGAGCCAATAAAGTTTTTGGCCATTTGAGATTAGCTTTCTGTCCCTGAAACTCCACCCAAATCCTAAGTAATGCATGGGCCTGGCACAGAATTTTAGGGTTCATGACATCTCCCCAGAGAGTCATGGGGAGTGTCAGAAAGAGTGTTCATGGCTTGCTCCAGGCTCAGCATGGTGGCTTGTGTCCCCTTGGGATGGGGTCAGCACGGGCTTTGGGATCCTAAGTTGAGGAGTTTGTGGCTGTGTGAGTCCGGGTCTTGGTGGCCCTGCTATACGGCAAGTCCTGTGTCCTAAGGACCAGGTTGTGACAAGCCTTACCTGTAGACGCTGTAATGTACTTTCCCAATGTGCTTCACCTTGAACCTTCCTGACAAGTCGGGAACTCGGATCTTCTGCAGCTGCTTCTGCAGAACGGTCACTCCCTGCTGGCAGGCTGAGGGACAAAGGCGGGTGGAGAGGGAGATGGGACATCCGCTAGCAGGGCCATCAGAAAGGGCCTGAGCAAAAGCAGCCACAGACAATATGTAAAAAAAAAAAAAAGCAAATGTGGCTATGTTCTAAAACTTTATTTATTCACACTGGAATTTGCATTTCCTGTAATTTTCACATCTTGTGAGGTGTTCTTTTGATTATTCAGCCTTTTTTTTTTTGGTGGTACTGGGGCTTAAGCCACTCCACCAGCCCTTTTTTGTGACTGGTATTTTTGAGATAGGGTCTCATGAACTGTTTGCCCAGCCAGGCTGGCTTCAAACAGCCATCGTCCTGATCTCTGCCTCCTGAGTAGCTAGGATTACAGACTTGAGCCACCAGTGCCTGGCAGATTTTTCAGCCATTTAAAAACATAAAAACCATCCCAGGACTTGGGAAGCTAAGACAGGAAGATCTAGAGTTCAAAGCCAACCTGGGCTACATAGAAAGACCTTCTCTCCAAAAAATAAAAATTAAAACGAAAAAGATTCTTAGCTCATAAACCACAGAAAAACATGTAGAAGGCCACATTCAGCCCTGGCTATAATTCGCTAACAGCCAGTCACGCACACCCTCTCCATTCTCACTCTTTGCTATACCCCTACACACACCCTACCTCTCTCCTTTTGACTCTCCCCACAGGACCTTTGCACGTGCTATTCCTGCTGCCTGGGAAACACTTTCCTCTCATATTCACCTGGCCATCTTCCATTCAGCTTGATCATCACTTCCGTTGGGAAGCTTCCCTGATCCAGTAGCCCAGAGAACCCCCTTGTTACCGTGTTCGCAATGCTACAGACGTCTCCTTCAGAGCCTCCGTGACCACGTGCAATTATGCGTCTGTGATTAATGGCTCTCTCCCTCACGGATGGAAGCCCCCGAGGTTGGCAGCAGTGCGGGTTTTATTTGTGAGCGTGTCTCTGACACGCTCCACAGTGCCTGGCACTTCTTAGTCATTGGATAAATAAATGAGTGCCCCGAAGGCAGGAATTCTGCATAAGTTATTATGTGGCTAACAGCGTCGAAGAGCCAATTAACAGACAAACACATTACCCCAGCTGGAGGAAGTATCAAGGTGAAGGACACTTACATCAGGCTTTGTGTTTTCTAGGAGCTAGCTTGTGAACAGTAAAAATAACAATTATAAGTCTATTAGGCTCTTACTCTTGCCAGGCAATGTTCTAGGCTGTACTCTGAACCGTCCTAGGAAAAAGGTCCTGTCATCATGCCCATTTCACAGATGGGGAAACTGAGGTTCAGAAAGCTTAAGTGCTTTATTCAAAACCACAAAGCTGCCAGAGTTTGAATTCAGGCCTCCTGGTTCCAGAGCCCGTGTCATGGGTTAGGCCTTCTAGGGGCTCAAAAATAAGCTGTCACACATGTTCACTGCCTGGAGGAGAAAGAAAATGGGCTGGCCGGGATCTGTAAGTCCTCAGGAGACCTGAAGGGTCTCAAATGCCAACCAGAAAGTAGCCTCTGAAGACCCTGGGGAGCCACTGAATACTGTCAGGGGGGAGGGGCACACGAGCAGATTGGCTGCATTTCAGAGACCTCACTCTCTGGTTGCCACAGGGGACCCAAGTAGAAAAGGAAACTGAGGCAGCTATGACAGCATGAGGACTTCTGGGTTCAAAGTCCTCAGCTAAGCCTCTGCTCCCAGGAAGCCTGCAGGACCACCCCAGCTCTGAGTTTGGAGTAGGGCTGTCCTCTTCCTCCTAAGTCGTGTGGGGACCCTGTCTGCATCCCCAGTATTCAGAGATGTCCTGCGTGGACAGGGGTAGGGATTAGAGGTGGGATAGCAAGTCCCCTGAATCCTGTCCTGTCCAGGCCCAGTGGTACCCCACCTGGCCCAGACCTGCCTCCTTCCCCTTGCTCTGCTGGGTATCACCATGGTTCTGCAGTTCACATACCAGCCACTAAGAGGCAGCGTCGAGCAGCCCAAGCTGGGTCTGGGACAAGACAGGAGCCGAAACGCAGGCAGGTGCTCACCTCTCACCATCCTGCTGACTTTAAGGTGTGCTCACCTGTAGACACTGACAGTAGCAGTGTCTGTCATACCCCTGTGCCCTGCCCACCCCACCCAGGGCTAGAGTGAGAAGAAAAGGGAGCGCATGTGTGTGGCTGGGTAGAGGGAGGGGACAGTGAGGACCCTTGGGGGCCTGGGCACTGGTCTTGGAACCGTGTAGGCCAGCTCCAATCCCAGCTCTGCCACTTCCCAGCCCTGTGACCTCAGGCAACTCTGCATCTTCATATGTAAAACAGGGATCAGGGGGCCTACCTTGCAGAGCTGTGAGGGTGCCAGGGACCAGATTTAAAGGGCTGCACATAGTAGGTGCTCAATAACTGCTTCTCAAAGATGGGGGAGGAGGGAAGGAAGGCATCCAATTACCGAAGTCCAGGCCCTTCTGGGAGATCCTGGCCACGATGCCAGGTTTGGTGGCCAATGTCACAGCTGTGCCCATGGAGGCTAGCACCACCAGGGTTGCCCATATTGGCGCGTTGTCAGGGCCCCTGGCCATGTCCTCCCTTGTCCTTCAGAGCTGCCAAAACCACAATGCCTTGGAGGGAAACCAGAGACTTATAAAGGAGGAGGCTGGGGAAGTGCAAGTCAGGAAAATGTGGAAAGGAGGAAGGGACCCGCTGGGGGCGGGCGGGAGAGGGAGAAGGGGGCAGGGGGAAGGAGGGGACTTCCAGTGAAGTTGGGGCCACAGCCCCTGAGACAGCCCCAGGTGCAACCTGTACCCGTGCATGTGGCTGCATAGCTTGGGACCTTTGGCTCTGAGCCTGATCCTCTTCTTACCCACTCCATCCTCTCTGAGCCCCACCCAAGTCCCCCTCATTTAAGGAGTTCCTTGAAGCTGGGAGGTGGGTCCATCAGGGTTCATTATATTTTTCTCCATATTTTCCATGTCTTTGGTATTTTCCATAGTAAGACATGTAAGAAACCAGAACCTTCTGTGTCCTTGTCCCGAGAGGCGATAGTGGGAATGCTTAAATGCCCTGGCTTTGGAGTCCAGTGCCTTGGCTGTGGTTTTAAATCCTAGCTCTGCTACTGACTCCCTAGAGGTCGGACCTTGGGTACCTGAGCTTGTCTTCTGCCCCCAGGTCCCCGTGAAGAGAGAAGGCGCTCTGAGCCAGGGAACCTACATAATGTGCGCCCAATGGACACTGACTGAAAACCCATCCAAGTTCCCCGCCAAAGTTTAAGAAAGGAGCAAGAGAATCAAAATTACATGAATCCCTTCTTCCAGAACCAAGCAGAGGCATAGTTTGGAGTCTTGCTTCTCTCCCCTCGCCTCCCTAAGCATACGTAGATACCCCTGGTTGTCTTTCTAACAAAAATGGGATCAAACTGGTCAGTTTTATAAAGTTCCTTCTGTCAACAAACGACGTGGCCAATGTTCTTCCCAGGCCACCAAGCTTCTGTGCTCACTCTCCTCCCCACCCCTCTCCCACCCTCTGACAGATGCGGAATCTAAGGTGAGCCTGGTTGAGGGGGAGTGTTTTTCCACGGATGGGAGAGCTGGGCTGCATCCCGCACCACTCCAAGCCCCTCAGCCCTGGGGGAGGTAGACACCACACATCCACACACACATCACCCCCCAAACACACATCCCCCCCCACACATCCCACACACATCCCACACACACACATCCCCCCAAACACACATCTCCCCCACACATCCCCCACACACACATCCCCTCCACACATCCCCCCCAAACACACATCCCACACACACACATCCCCCCAAACACACATCTCCCCCACCCATCCCACACACACACATCCCCTCCACACATCACCCCCCAAACACACATCCCCCCACACATCCCCCACATCCCCCCACACACATCCCCCCACACATCCCCCAACACACACATCCCCCACATCCCCCCACACACATCCCCCCCAAACACACATCCACACACACACATCCCCCCAAACACACATCTCCCCCACCCATCCCACACACACACATCCCCTCCACACATCCCCCCCAAACACACATCCCACACACACACATCCCCTCAAACACACATCTCCCCCACCCATCCCACACACACACATCCCCCCACACATCACCCCCCAAACACACATCCCCCACACATCCCCCACATCCCCCCACACACATCCCCCCCACACATCCCCCAACACACACATCCCCCCCACACACATCCCACACACACACATCCTCCCAAACACACATCTCCCCCACCCATCCCACACACACACATCCCCTCCACACATCCCCCCAAACACACATCCCCCCACACATCCCCCCACATCCCCCCACACACATCCCCCCACACACATATCCTTCCCACACACATCCCCCACACACACATCCCACACACACACATCCCCCCCACATCCCACAAGCACACACACATCCCAGCCCAACTTTTCTGACCCCAAGGCCTGGCTCTGCAAAGTTCACCCCTCCCACTGCCGCAGCCTAGCGGGGAGGGTGAGCTCCCCCCCCCAGGCAGCCTCCCATCTCCATGGTGATGAGAGGAGACCCAGCCTGAGCTGGGGCTCTCTTGCTGGGCGGCCATAATCCCCAAGCACCCTGTCACTCCCTTTCTGATTTTGTAAAAGTCTAATGAAGCTTACTGAGCCCTTCTGAGGTTTTTGTGGTGGTGGAGGGGGTGGTTTTTCTTTTTCTCTTTGCATGGTTCTAAAAGGTCTGTTCTGTGTAAGCCTCACAGACTCCATAGAAAGGCAAACAGTGCCGTGTACAAAGCATGTAACAGATGTTTTGCACACATCATCTCCCAGGCTAACAACAACCCATTAGGGAGGGCTGTTTATTCCCCCTTTTGGAAATGAGGAAACTGAGTCACAGAGCAGTGAAGTCACTGTTATGTTTACTCAATCTTTAAGGGAAAGAAGATACTCTATCTGGGGACTGTTGCCAGGAGAACTTGTCCTGGGTCCTCGCCCCAGCTCTGCCTTCCTTCTGCATCTGTACAAGAAAGAGAGCTCCGAGTGGCAGCAAGGACCGACGGCTTGTCATAACCCAGACTTTCAAAAATAACCTTGCACAGTTTGAACACCTCCAGCTCTTATCTGCCCGAGCTCCCCCAGTCTCCCCAGGCCCAGGCAGCTGTTGCATCTGTGAGGACGTCTGCCAGGAAAGGGACATTGAGATGAAGTCACAGGAGGACAGCCTAGATGGCTGGAACATTAGAAACCTAAAGAAAAGAGGGGTCCTCACCTCGGCCCCCACGTTCTTGTCTTCCAATACAGAATAAGAATTTCACACAAGAGACTAACAGACTTACTCAGCAAGTAGAGTGGAAAGGACAGTTGTACCTCACAGAAAAGACGCAGGTGGGCTGCTTTGGCAGGGTGTAAATGCTAGGAAAAGCGAAGCAAGGGGCCTGTTACAGGGTCCCGAGCATCAGTGGTCCCCTGTGTACTAGGCACCTGACTCATCCCAACCACTCCTGTTGCTGTTGTATTCTGCAGAATCAGAGTTCATTGTGCATCCTTACAATAGAGACTTAGGCTTGTCGTGACTTTGAACTCAGGGCCTACACCTTGAGCTACTCCACCAGCCCTTTTTTGTGATGGGTTTTTGTGAGATAGGGTCTTGTGAACTATTTGCCTGGGCTGGCTTTGAACTGCAATCCTCCTGATCTCTGCTTCTTGAGTAGCTAGGATTACAGGGGTGAGTTGCTGGCACTCGGCTCTGTCGTGACTTTTAATGGCCACCCTTCAACTCAAAGGAGGGAGAGCAGGAGGCTGTTTTCTTGCAGGCATGTGTGCTTGAACCCTAGGGCAAGATAATCAGCAGGAATGAGGAGGGGAGGTCATCTCTCTACTGCTTGTTACTGCCCAGTGAAGGAGCAGGACGCTTAAAGAACAGCAAATGATATCTGGGCACATCTGACCAGGTTATGTGCTGGTGCAATGTTTATTTCTGAATTCCTGGATCCTGTTCCTCTTGTCCTGTGTTCTTAGTTATCCTGCCTCAAAACCATCCCCAGTAGTCTCCCCCTGCTGGGAAATGCCCAGCCAAACCTAGAAGACTCCATCCGTGAGCCTCCTTTCCAGTCCTTCTAGCCATGGAGGTCAGATCTGACCTGTATCCTATGTTAGAGACAGTGTCCCAAGAAATAGAAGCCACCAACTTGACTTGGGTCTGCAAATTTGAGATGCTGGTTGATTCAGCACCTAACTACATTGCGTCACCATCTCTCTATCTGCTCTACCATCCCACAGCTCAGTTTTGCCCTCACGTTGGTTTCTTTCACAGTTGCGAGATGGCTGCACCAATTCCAGCCATCACATCTAAACAGGCTTTTCCTCACTTCTCCTCCTCCCCCTTTTTATTTTTTCTACAATTACTATAAGATATTTCAAACATATACATAAGAATAAACTAGCTAGGTTTATAAAATCTTAACGCTGTGCCATATCTGCTTCATATAGTTCTCTTAGTCGTACAGATGTTAATGTCTGTGTGGATATGGAACCAGGACCACAATCAGGATAAAATGGTCCCACCATTGCCCTCACTCTCTCTTGCTATCCAACTCAACATGGCTTGCATCACGACCCAAAGTGCATGGTCTCCATAGGAATTCACGATGGGCTGGGTCAAGGGTTGGTTAACGGAATAGCTGGTTCTGTCCCTTTTTTCCCTGCTCTCTTTCCTATTCTGTTGACCTTTTCTAGAAGAAAGTGAATTGGGTTCCCAGTTGCACCCATGTTATCTGCTCCCAGGGTGAGTGGTCTGGTCCCTCTATCCTTCCGAAGTTGGGGATCCTCTTGAAGGATGGGGAAACAATGCCCGTCATGGGAGGTGCTCCGACAGTAAAATGTGTTAACAGACAGGGGCTCAGTCCAGAGCCCTGCCTTGACCTTGGTCCTAGTTGACTAGAGAGGCCTGGGCCTCAGGAAGTCACTCTGGGGCTTCACAGCAGAGCTCTGGGGTGTCTGAGTAAGTGCAGAGATAGAAGGATCCATGGCTCCTGTTGCCTCTGGGAGTCTTCTGCTCAGCTCTCCCTGTGGACGGAGGCCCCTGGCAGCCCAGCAAGGCAGCCGAGGGCATGGATTTGGATCCTGTCCTATCCTGGGCCCAAATTCTAGTCCTACCACTTACTTGCTGTGTGACTTTGAACTTGTGGCTTAACCTTGACGAACCTCAGTTTTCTCCTTTGTCCCCACACTCCATCTGCAGACACAGTCCTTCTTGTCAGGTCCAGAGCTTGCCTTTCCCATGAAGCCATTCCTGTGGCCAGCTGAGGCCTCGCTCTGTCTCTCCTCTAGATTCCCAGCCCTTCCCTTCCCTCCCCTCCTGGGACTCTCATCCTCTGGCTCTTGCCTTTAGCTGCTCCTAAGTTGGGAATGCAGGTGTGGGAGGGGTTTGTGGCAGATCCTGAAGTCAAAGGGAGAAGAGGAATAGAGTCCAGAGACCTGGACTCACGGTCAGACATTTCGTATTCCAGTGATAAACTCAAGAGGGCCTCCCCTACCTTGCTGTGCTGAAAACAGTCCCCCTCCCAGATTCCCA